GTGTCGCGAAGGCAGGGGGCCGCTTGTACAGCAGTCCATCGGTTGCAGCAAGCCAAGACCAAAGCCTACGGGATGTGCTCTGTGGAAAATAATCAATGTATTATAATATTATATGGCTTTAAAAGCATGCACCTTCATAGAAACCACGCTACAACCAACATGGGTGTAACGAGCCTGTCCGCCCATTTCTGCTGCGTGTCGTACGGCGAGTGTTCGGGTACAAAGACAGTCGAGAGCCATTCGGTGCGCCATTCGGGCATCCTGTCGGGTTGTCCAGTGCGGAAATAATATGCCTGCGCAAGGCTCAGATCGGCGAGGAAGCACTGCAAATCCTCCTGCGAGTCAATGTCCGGCGGAAGGCAGTCCAAACAGTTCGACGGCAGCTGCTCGCAATAATCGAGATTACGCTGCAGGATGGTACTTGGGTCTTCCATCCCACAGACCGACGCGAGGTAATAGTCCATCGCACGAAAATCGAATATGACCTCGTCCTGCGGGTCGGTGGAACGGCGAAGAAAAAACGGGAGTCCATGGGGAAGTCCTGCTCGGTCAGCGGAACCGGAGGACGACATGTCCGACGAGAAAGAACGAGGAAAGGGAGAGGAATGATGATGACAGTGGCAGGTGGCTTGGGCTTTCTGGCAGCGGCATGATAACAATGATTCTGTGTCTAGGCTTCTTTAAAAAACCTAAAGCATCACCAACCACGACAGACCATGATGCTTCAGATGAAAGTCTGCCTGACTTGTGCTGCTGCTCCACACTGGCAAGTGCTAGGCTGCCCACGGTGATCTACGTGTGCCCACTCGAAGTCCAGCGGAGTCACCTTTGTGAGGCCGACGTTAGTACTACATGGGAACCATGGACTCATGATTTGTCCCTAGTCCTTCGGGGTGGTCCTGCGGTGCCGCTTTTGAGCTTCCTAGCTTAAATCATAGTAACTTCGAATGCAAAGTGCACAGAAAAGGAGCTTGGACAGTCCTAGGAACCGACCTTGAACAGTCTGGTTACAAAACCCAGCATTCTTTACAAGAGGCAAGCTGCTGAGTAGAACCATCGAACTCCGAACGACCGTTGCAATGTGTACTGACGACCCAGGCCTTGTGTCTAAGTCTTCAAACTGACATGTATAACTATGATTCTAAACTGCATTCAGTCAGCTGCTAACCCCCCTTGTCCCAAAGGAACCCCACACCCTGTGTAAACCCGACAGCTGAAACACAGACTCTGTGTGTGTGTGTGGGTGTGTGTATGTGTTGTCCTGTGTATGTCCTGCGAGTGCCAACAGCTGTTGCTTAGTGTTGCATGGGAAACCAGATGAACACAACGTCCCAAATGAAGTCCCCAATCTCAGAAGATGTAAGTAACAAGCGAAGAAACCTGTAAGTAGCATCTCAAGACAAGATGGTTCCAAAGGCAACCGCTAAAGAAAAGTATAAGTACCAGGAGAACAAACAGGGAATGTGCATTCTCGAGTCCAGTACCATTATACCACTGCACAAGTGCAAGAACTTACTGTACTTACCCTGTGCCCTGAAGAGAACCATCCTTTAAACCCAAACAAAAAAAGCATGAACAGACCTGAGCTTGCAACGAAGGATTGCGCATGGAAGACCTGATGCGAGGAAGCTTGAGGGCTTCTCCTCTTTAATATTTTATAATTCTGAGTATTAATATAATATTATTATTGCCTGATGTGAAACCTCCACAAAGACTGAGACACCCAATCCAAACCACTTTTTGACTGTCCATGGTTTGAATATCAAAAAGCTCGTAAATTAAATATGAAGACAGACCTTTCCTGAGAGGGAAGAATAACGATTCTGAAGCCCCCTGTAGACTACTGCAAACTCCATTATCGCAAATCCACCTCTGAGTCTTTGCCATCCGACTTAACATTTACATAGAAGACATGGACACCACATTTTCCTAGCCGCATGGCATATGAGAAATATGAATTATCTGTGCAGTAACGGCGCGGCAAAACAGCTAACTCCAAACCGTGATAAATCTTTCATAAGAGACCACGACCCAACCAGCAACACATGATCGGAGCCGCTCTGAGCACCCAGCTGCGAAGAAAGGGTGGCTTCAAAGCACCTGACGCTGGCAAACACTGGCATGCTGATACGACTCACTTACTACCTCAGGAAAGCATTCTGCGGCAACGACTGCAGAACCGCACTTTTTCCTGCTGTGTCCGGCGAGTCGAGAAGTTGGCGAGTCGAGTACCGTGTATCAGACCGACGAATCAGGATATTTCTCTATTCCAGGATGCTGCTATGCGGCCTTCTAAAACATTAATTTAATAGTTTGTCCTTCGAGGAACCGTCGAGTCTGATATGCACGGGAACTACGGGGGACTCCGTCCTCCGGGGGGAGCAGCCGGCTTGCGGATGCAGGCGGGTGCCTGCTTTGGCGCCGGGGCGGCCTTCGGGATGCTGGGAGTCTTCGCCTGGAATCAGGACATGTAATGACTAAGCAGGAAATACATGCAACATGTCACCGAGGCCACCGAGTGCAATCAAGACACAGCTGTGGCTGGTCCGGCGGGTTTAGCGGGAAGTCCTGTGCAGAACAGAAGCAGCCACTCGAAACAATGTCACATGTGCAAGTAGTTGAAGCTACATATCCCAATGAACGGCGAGCAAAAAACAAATCAACATTCTTGAAGCGAACCTAAGAAACCATGTCTAGCTTATTATAAAGCATACCGAACCAACGATGCAGGGCCACTGTTTCTGCATACTGGCACTGTGAACTGTGTGAACACCTGCTATTGTTCCGACCGTACACCCCTTCTTTGCTGGGCTCCATATCCAAGGAAGAAGTGCTGGACACAGGTGTAACTACTGAACTCTAATAAGTGATTAAAACTAACCAAAGAAACCAAGCTTGTGCATGATGTGGACACAAGAACTGCTGGCTATTTCTTGTGCATCCAGCTAACTAACACGTGTAACAGACTCGGTCCACGATCCACCGAAAAGGCATCGAACACATAGGATAATATGCTTTGTTTTGCCACCTGCGGCCCCCGTGTCCCCTCCACCTCGTCCCTGGCACCTCTCTAATCTAATGCTGCTGACGGACATGGGTGCCCTCTGCTGGAACAGGCCACCCCCTCCAGTACTAGTACTAGTACTAGTACTAGTACTAGTACTAGTACTAGTACTACTACTACTACTACTACTACTACGACTACTACTACTGCTACTACTACTACTACTACTACTACTACTACTACTACTACTACTACGACTACTATGACTCATTAAGATTACGGATGTGCAAGTCCAACATGGTAAGTAAACTACTAAAGTACGATTAGTAAGTACTAAAGTACTTCTTTTGTTGCCTTACTTGTACTAGAACTACGATGAAGAATGACTAATTGTACTAGTAATAGGACTATAGTAATGCCTTCACAAGAACTTAACATAATTCCGAACCCAAACCCACATACGTGAAATCGGCGTGGCACTACTAAGCAATCCCCTGTATTAAATTAATGCCTTCCCCTTGCAGTCCTGCGTCGTGCTCTTGGACCTGCGAGAGCTGCATGGCCAAGTAGTCCGCCTCGAGTTTCTTGCGCTCCATCTCGATCTCGAGTTGCTTCATGAGGAGTTCCCTCTCGGTCGGCCCGCGGGGGGGGTCCTGCGAGGATGACGAGGCCGCCGAGGAGAACTTCACGGCCGTCGTGGCCTGCGAGTGAGTCGGAGTCGGCAAGCCCGAGTGCAGCTGCTCTTGCTTGGCCGCCTTCGTTTTGGCCTTCGAGATTGGTTGGATAGGCGGTGCAGCGGGTGCAGGGGCGGCGGGTCTGGAAACGGCGGGTGCAGCGGGTGGGATCTTCGAGGTTTTGAGAGGTGGGGCCTGCGGCTGTCGGGTGGTAGCGGGTGGTGCTGCCTCAGCTGCGCGTGCTGCCGTGTTTGCCACATAGGCAGCCCATTCGGGTCGAACTTGGGGTCGAGGCTTCGGCGGGGCCCGCGATCGTGGACCGCCTTCACCGGGTGGATCCAGAACAGTGCCGTGTCCGACCAGTGGCTTGGCGCCCGGCGTGGACCGGACCCGGGGAGGAGGCCTGTCGGGTGGACTGTACGAGTACAGGTCCTTCGGGGCGCCCGTGGCAGGCTCGTAGTCCGACGGGTCGTAGGTGTGGTCGTCGTCGAAGGCGAGAACTCCGGAGTCCGGCGTGTCGTAGCCCTGCTCCCGGAGGTACTTCGTGCGCTTCCGGCGTGCTTCTGTCTCCAGCGTGTAGTTCTCCTCCGGCCTGAGGTCCGACACGATCGACTGGTACGACGAGCCGCCAGGCAAGTCATCCGAGTGCACGTCGTCTTCCGTTTTCAAGACGGCCATCTTCTTCCGCTCCTTCACGGGTATGTGCGAGAACGTGTTCTCGATCCGGCGAGACTTGGCGGCCTTGAACACCATGTACTCTTCGTCATCGTCTCAGAGCAGAACACATCCGACCGCAAAGGAAGACATGTGAGAGTGACATAGACATGTGCAAATGACAAGAATTCAGCTTGGGCACGTCGCGGGTGCATGGCGGCAATCGACTTCTCGTTGATGTTCATCGTGAAGTACGCCGAGTGGTTTCTTAAGTCCCCAGATTTGCCCGACGAGGCTTTACCTCAGTCCAGAACAGTGCTGCACTCAACTGAACTCTGCAAGCAAAGTACGTCTGGCTGCATTCCAGAGCACGATTCATCTGTCCGGCGATATCGTGTGCGAGAATTCGGCCCCACGGGGATTGCTCAGCAAGTCCGACCAGCGCCTTATTCATGGGACACAGTGGATGCAATGAAGTCCTTGATCGTGCCTGAACACGAGCTTATTGCTTAATTAAGTCAGGCAGCGTTCCAAACACCGTCGTCGAGATCGAACGGGTAGTTCATGATTGCCGCCGCAACGGCTGGGTGCTTGTAGAGAAGAACAGCGCGTGACTCGGGTCAATCAGTCAGTCTCTCATGCAAACCAGGACTACTAAAAAACCAATTTCAGTCAATGTAAAGTAGCCAAGACACCCTTTCCCTCGCCATCTCCATGCAAAGATCGTCCACCGCTTTTTGCCCTCCTTTTTTGCGGGCCATGTACAAGTGGAACTCGAGCATGTCGACCGCCGTGTAGTCGTCCTGGCAGGCCTTCGGGGGAGGTGGAGGGTCCTCCTGGTCCAGCGATCTCCCCCGGCGTGTTTTGGCCACCGTGAGGAAGCCGTCGTCGCCAATGCCTGGCAGTGCCATCGAGTCGGCCGCCCGGGGGGTGTCGGGGTCCTCGGTCTCGTCGTCGGCCTGTCCTTCGTCGTCATCGTCATCGACCTCAACGTCCACGTATTCCTCCTCCGCCGGCGGGTCGTCCTCCTGGTCCTCCTGGTCCTGCGGCTCGTCGTCTTCGTCCGGTTCGTCCATGTCGTCCTTCGTGTGGGGAACGACGGTGTCCTGGTCGGACACAACCTCTGCCCAACGTCCAAGGTCCTGCGCGATCATCTCCGAGTCTGTGTCCTTCTGGTAGCCCTCGTCGTCCGCCTCCTGCATGCCTTCGGAGAAGGCCGCCGCGGCCTCGGGTACGTCCGGCTCACAAAAGCCGAGCTGCGTGGCCGCCGCGTAGTAAGCGAGTGACCTCCGACGGGGATTTTTGAACATGTACTTCGACATGATGATGGCCGTCGAGATGAAGTTGGGTAACGGGTCGTCCTCCTCGCGTTTCTCCACGGGTGGCAAGTGGACCGACCACCACTTGATGTCCCAAACGTCCGGGTAGTTGAACGTCGGGAGGAACAGCGGGTGACCCAAGGCAAGTGCCACAAGGGTGGAAAGTCCGGCGGCACGGTGTTTGCCCCGTTTGCCTCAGCTCGTAGTAGTAATAGTAGTAGTAGTAGTAGCAGTAGTAGTAGTAGTAGCAGCAGCAGCAGCAGTAGTAGTAGTAGAAGTAGTAGTAGTAGTAGTAGTAGTAGTAGTAGTCGTAGTAGTGGTAGTAGTAGTGCTAGCAGAAGTAATAGTAGTACTAGCTAGTAGTAGTAGTAGTAGTAGTAGTAGTAGTAGTAGTAGTAGTAGTAGTAGTAGTAGTAGTAGTAGTAGTAGTAGTAGTAGTAGTAGTAGTAGTAGTAGTCGTAGTCGTAGTAGAAATAGTAGTAGTAGTAGTCGTAGTAGTAGTCGAAATAAACGTGAACAAACGAATTCCCACCTTCAACCTCGTCACAGAACAGCGAGAGGATGATCTTCATGCCCTCCGGCTTGTACTCGAGCAGCGTGGAAATGAGAGCGAGCATCATGACCAGCGCGTGCCACATGCCTTCCTGGCCGACCGACAGGTGCTGGAGAACTCTGTAGTTGAGCGCCGGGGAACCTTAGAAAGCAATCAAAAGCCACATGCCACACTCTCTCTGTAATGCAACACATCGGAACAACAACGACTGCACTGCAACTATGGTACCGCGGGGACTCTGAACGTCGTGTTCTGCGTCCTTCAAGCCCAGCGCACGAACGTCGATGTCAAGGTACATCCAGTCGAAGACGCCGAAGCCGCTCTTCTCCAGTCCAGTCTTCAGAACTCCGGTTCGTCCATTCGCGTGTGTCGGGGTGTTCGCCGGGCCTGATGAAACGAATCACACACACACACACTAATCGTGCAGCAATGCAGAAGCACAGCATGTTGAATTCGACGGTTTTAGACAAGAAGCAGGCATAAGGCTTCGGGTACAGCATGTCGGCTCCGTATCCGACCAGCAACAACTTGTCCTCCCCGTTCGGCGAGTCTTTGACGTCCTGCGTGGTCCGCTGATACGTGTCCATGTTGCCCGTCGAGTGCACCGGCAGGGGGGCCCGCGGGGCTTTGTCCGCAACCCTGCCGACACCTTCAAAAGATGAGGTCATGGCCGCCGAGGTGGAACTACGAAGGAACGGCGAGGATACTAGGTAGAGGAGAACGTCGGGAAATTATCAGTCATGCGCTTCCACACGCTGAAAGTCCTTAAACCTTAAGGCGAGTGATGCAATAGCTACTTACGAGTGTTAAGCTCCTATAAACTGTGTGAATGAATCTGAAAAAGCGTCCATCATGTGTTGCCTGAGGCATGGACATCATGTCATCAGAGAGCTTTGATGCACAATGTGCAGGCTTGGTCCAAAATTGTGGCAGTCGAACAACCGATGCTCCGTCAACAAAGCTTCAACAATGCTGGTCGCATGCACACACACAAGATAACCAACATTCGTTCATGTCATGAGCAGGCAGAGCAAAAGGGGAGGGCGGAAGGCACCTGGTCCAGCGAAGAGCGTGGCATTGGACACGAAGTTGTTGTCCACCGTTGCAGAACGACGGGGAAGCACGGCGGGTAAGTTCTTCGGGTTGAGCTACAGCTTGCCCCTCAAAACAACTGAAGACCAAATTCCCGCGAGCGACCTTTGCTCCTCCAATTCTGTAATAAACTCAGCCTGTATTCAATCTTAAATCCATACTCCTATACACACAAATCCATTCAACTCAAACCGCTGTCCAAACGGGTGTTTGCTTAATTGCTTGCTTGTTATGTGGTTTTGGAATCCTCCGATTGGCTATGTAAAAAACACACCACCGGCATGTAAAATACGCACACAAATCATAATCTCAAAACTGGGGGAGTTGAACTCGCAAATGTGCAATTTGGGTTGATCATGGAAAACTGCCAAAACATACACCCTATCCCCGGCATACGCGCATCCCTGCTTAAGTTGATCTCTGATCATATACTATCAGACATGACTGTCCTAGATTGTTATGCCAGTACATGGGAGTTTCCGATAAATCCTAAACCCTAAACTCTAAACCCGACGGAATAGTATGCGCATGACTACCATGTATTTTCATACATGATCCTATTGCCAAGTCTCCGGATCCAGGTCAGCGTAAGCACTCTGCAGACTTCCGCCTGGAGCCGGGGGCTCATGTTGTCCAGGAGCCTGAAGATAGGGCTTCTTAGGTCTAGGGGTTTAAAAGGGGTTTGATAGGAGTTTAGGGCCTTTTTAACCTAGGGGCTATCTAAGGGGTGTAGGGCCCTTTTTCTGTTTTTTTTTTAAGGGTTTCGGGTTTTTAGGGGTTTAGGGCGTTAATTAGGTTGAATATCTAGGCTTCGATCTGAGTTTTTAAGGGTTCATAAGGGTTCAGTTTGTAGGTTTCAGGGCTTAGAGCTTTGGGTTTGACAGGGCGTAAGTCTGATGAGCACGCGATGCATCACTAACTCCGGGTCACTGATGCTGACAGTTCTTGTCGACACTTGTCCTAGTATCGGAGTCTCAGCTTTATGATCTTACGCTTGGACACCAAGAACCGAACCAGACTCACTGCTCAGAAACAAGATTTCTATGCATCGCGGGCACTGAAGCTGCTTCTGATACTGGATCTGGTGTCGGTTTTGCAAGAAAAAGCTGCGCAACCGACTGCGAAGCTCGTAGGGCAGTCCTGCAAGAGTCAGGGGTGCCAGAAGACCTTGAACCCGAGGGCTTAAGAGCCGACAAACGCCGTGAAAACCTAAACACTAAAGTTTAGCTAGGTTGGCCCGTTAAAGCTTCTGAACAATATTCGTAAATAGGGTCCTATTAACCCCAATAAGGGGAAAATATAAAATGTCCCAAAGGCCTACCGAGTTAGATATCTCCAAAGCCGAAAAGGAAGCCCACGTCGGAAAGGACTCAAGGCAATGCATGCTCGCGTCCCTGGGGTTCTCGACAAAAGAATCCCTCTTCGATTACTGTTACTGTGCTGTGAGTGGCGTGCCGCTAAAAAGTCCATGTACCCAACTAGTATACACATCGGTCCAACGGTACCTATATCCAGATTACTTGAAGGCCAAAGTATATACTGTTTGGGTAGTCGTAGGCGGAGGAGGAGTGGTGGTGGTAGCAGCAGCAGTAGCAGTCGTCGTTGCGGTACACGGGCCCTCAGGGCCCCTCCATCAAACGACATCTTGCCTCGCTCTTCGGAGCATGCACCAAACTGTCTTCTGCTTGCTTCCTAGCCTTTGGGCATTCAGATTTGCCGTCCAGGCAGATCTCTGCTATTTCGGGAGTATTTCAAAGAGTTGCGGTTAACCCGAAACCCTAAACCGCCGGTCTTGGCAACGGAACTCTTGTGTCTCGTGTCTCGTGTCGGCTACCCTATCCCCAATGACCCGGAATCCCAAATAACAGGATCCGAAGATTCCCCGGGCAGTATATAATTACTTGAGACAGCACCCATTCCAACAGCCCAACCATCAACCATCAGCAAACAGTTTCAGATCCGGCAATCGAAAGAACACCTCAATGCCGAACAACTTGCTGGCTGATGTAGGTTGCTGCCGCCTGAAGCACTGGCAAAGCTGAAGTAAGTTCTTTGCGAAGTTACAAGGCCGTGGGTCCTTGATCTCTCATCATGACGTTCAGCTGGTGCATCTTCTTCCGGAAGAGCTGACCGTCAGCATTCATGTCCGCCACGATGGCACAGACTTCGCCGAGAATGTAGGCCCAGCATAACCCGGAGACCATCACCATCATCGTGCAAACGAGCCGCTCCAGGATGTTCTTCGGCCCGAAATCCCCATAGCCCACTGAAGTCATAGTGTAGCTACAGAAATAGAAGGAAGCAACGTAAACTCGCCATGCGGATTCACGGGTTAGGATGCCGAACTCACCATCCACAGCCTCCACATCGTCGATCCACTGGGGGTAATTGCGGTCAACCAGCTGCAGCGTCAAAGCCCATACACAGGCCAGCCAGTGACACATCAATACGAGCACGGAGAGAAATCTCAGTAGAGCGAACTGCTGGTACGGCAGCGAGAAAGGGATCCTCACGACCAAAGGACGCTCACTCTCTGCACCTTCTCCCTAAACCCTACAAAGCCTCTTAACCCTATAACCCTATAAGCCCTAAACCTTATAAACCCTATAAAGCCCCAAAAGCCCTCAAATGGGACGCCGGGTTGCTCCAAACGATGCAGAAGGTTCGAGGACTTCAGCAGCCGGACCAGCTTCACCAGTCTCAGGGGGCTCTGGGGCTCAGGGGGTTTAGGGCTTAGGGGCTTAAGGTTTCTTTTAAGTTGATGTGTACCCTTTCTTCAAAGTAGCGCCGGCCTCAACTTAGTAGGGGCTTAGGGAATTTACGCTCTCACAACTCGGACGAAGCCAGGCGAGGTTCTTGGGTGCGGAGTCGGTGTGAAAAAGGTTCAATTGGATTCTCAGGCACTTAGGGTTTAGGGGTTTAGGAGGTTTAGGGGTTCAGGGGTTTGGGGCTACGGTTCGGCTGATTCTACAGGGAAGATGTGGGCGGAGGCAGGGGGAGAGGCGTACCGCTACTCATGCTTCCTTTTCATACCGCGGGTTGAGCCACTATGGAGAGACTATGGAACCGAAGGGAGGCAAGGAAAGGGAGGTGCAAATGGCATCCCCCCTGAACTCCCGAATGCCAAGAGGCTCAGGCTTCGAGCAATTTGAGCAACAAACATCCGCAAGGGTAGGGGGCCCGGCAGGCTGGGATTGGGGTCCATCATAGTATACTTTTAGGACGCGGAAGGAACTCTGAGGCCCGAGGGATCAAGTGTTGCAATTATCCCGGTCCCTTCGTTAATGTGACCAACGAGCGCTCGTCGGGTTCCTGCTCGGGGCCGAGCCCTTGTCCTCTTCCGCCCCGCTGTGAGTGAGTGCCAGTGTGTGCATGCTTATATCGGTGAATGTATGTGCGTCCGAACAGATTGCATGCATCTGTTTGTACACATATGCAGTATGCAAAACCACACACTATGGTGCACGATGTGATAACAGCCTTGGCCCACACAGCATGAATTAAGTTCCAGACGTCCTAGCATGGCATTCACAATCCCTGCTAGGGCCTGTTAGGGGGCAAACTGATGAATCCGGGCCTCTTGCTATGGTTGCAGGTATGTTGTTCAAGCAGAGGTACTCAGCGATCCCCTTTGGCCAAGCTAGCTATCCGGATCGCTTCCTTCAGTTACAGAGCTTCGAATTTGCGGCCCCACAGCAGAATCCTTATAGTATAGAATTGGAACAGGCCTACACCCGAGATCCGTTTTTGGACCCGGAACCCTAAACCCCTGAATCCTAAAAACTCCCAAAAACAAACCCACAGTCTTCTAACCCCTACCCCTCCCCCCCCTCAAACTACTTTAAAACCAAGCCCCGCCCAGGGCCGAAAGCTTGGTCCCGGAATAAGTCTCGAACTGCTTACTGTACAGACGGTTTGTAGAGTTTACTGTAGGGCTCAGAGCTTAGACAATTTTTTGTTTGAGGGCCTCTTTTCCGTCCGGCGTTTCCCCCCTAGCTAGGACGAGACCGCACTGAGGACTTTGAGTCCGAAAGAAAAGGGATATATGGTGTGGAGTTCATGGTTCTGTGTTTAGAGCTTACCGCTTGTGCATCAGAGTTCAAAAGATCGAACAATTAGGATTTACGGCAGAAGACTAGAGCGTTGCCACGGTCCAGCCTAAGCGTGCGAATCACCTTCACAATCTTCAGGTCTTTCAATGCTTCCGCATTTGTGAGCAGGCCTTGCAGACAGCTCCATGATCAGCTTTCAGGGAGCCCCGCAAACACTGAAAACAAAAGAAAGCTGACGTTAAACGAAGCATGTGTCGTCACGTTGAGTCTGTTGGACCATGCTGGTTTGGGAGTTTCCAAAAATAGGGGACCCTAATATAGCACCCTGAATACTATAGGATCCTTACTATAAGGACCCCAAAATACGGTACCCCTAATTTTGGGAAACCCCCATTTGCCGTCCGGCACAAGTACGCCCAACGGGGGCGTCATGGCTCCCGTGTTGCAGTCCAGAGACGACCAACTCAGGCAAAAATAATAAAAACAATAATAATAATAATAATAACAATAATAGTAATAATAATAATAGTAGTAATAGTAATAATAGTAAAGTAAGCAATAACAAGTAGCTGGCATTGGGAATCGCACAGCGCCAGAACTATGCCTTTACTAGAAGCTGGTGCTGTTAGAGAGGCATGGGAGACCGAATCTCAAACCTTAGAATCCAAGAAGGGCCGCAACTATGACTCAAGCCAGAATTTCGGATGCCCCTGCGACGAAACTCTCCTATACACCTCCTGTCTCGGGGCAAAGAAGTGGAAACTACAAAGCCCTGGAAACCTAAACCCTGGCCCCAGCCTAGAAGATCGAAAGGAATGATGGTAAACAAGTCGAAGAAGAACCACGAGCGCAAATAATGCTTCGCAATCATGTCCAGCCTCACCTGCCCAGCTTCAGTTTCGGCTCTCAAACTCGGACAATCCTGACAAGGACCAGCTTCAGTTATAGTAGAAGCCCAAAAGTTGGAAACCCCATAGCCTCAATCCTTAAGAGTAATGTATAGGGAATCCCAGCAGTATTTGGCCTTATTCCGGTTTCCAACTTTCTGGGGTTTCGTTCTGTAGAATTCAAAGTCTGCACCCAAGAAAAGGCTCGTGTCCAGAAGCGACTCTGCACACACGGACCTGGCTACATTTTCGTAGACGTGTCTGTACCTGTACCTGTATGTACATCACTTTTGCGTGTGTGCGCATGTATGTTTGTAAATATTTGCGTACGTATGCTTGCATCTATATCTATATCTAAAGCTGTATCTAAATCTGTGTGTATATATTACACAAGCATGCACACATACTCACATGAATATATCTACACACGCATGCGCATACAAATGACTTTATACATACACGTACACTCACACACATACATCTACGCTTATACGTATACATTATATATATATATATAAACTTAGATTCCAACACATAGATATAGTACCCCTCCCTGTATTGACCCACATTTCTTTACAGCCGAGCTGCATGCTCCGAAAGTGGAGTGAAAAGGAGGTAATGCGGTTCAATGGAAAATAAAAATAGAAGGCTCAGTGTGCAAATTTGCAACACGGAAAGGTAGACGTCGACCAACATACTAAGTAAAAATAACCCATACACAAAATAGTGTGGTTCAAAACGGCGAAACTTGATCCACAGCACCACACCATCAAGCAACACAAAGCAAACAAACGCACAAAACAACAGAATCGAAACAACAACAACAACAACAACAACAACAACAACAACAACAACAGCAACAACAACAAGAACAACAATAACAACAATAACAACAAGAACAACAAGAACAAGAACAAAAAACAAGAACAGCAACAACGCCAACGCCAACGCCAACGCCAACTCCAACGCCAACGCCAACGCCAACGCCAACGCCAACGCCAACGCCAACGCCAACACCAACACCAACACCAACACCAACACCACCACCACCACCACCACCAACAACAACAACAACAACAACAACAACAACAACACCAACACCAACACCAACACCAACACCAACACCAACACCAACACCAACACCAACACCAACAACAGCAGCAACAGCAGCAACAGCAGCAACAGCAGCAACAGCAGCAACAGCAGCAACAGCAGCAACAGCAGCAGCAGCTGCAGCAGCTGCAGCAACAGCAACAGCAACGACAACTACAACAACAACTACTACAACTATGCTGAACATAGGCCCCTGCCGCATTTACTGAACGAGTCGCTAGACAGTGTGTGTGTGTGTGTGTGCAATATGTCTAGTTGGTGTTTGCTGCTTGCTGGTTCCTTTGCTACTCTGCACAGCGAATCTGCCTGTGGCCTGCTTGTCTCGTGCGACTCACGAGAAAGTGCAATTATTTTCGATTGTTATTCACTGCAATGTCCTCTTTTGAACAACTGCACAGCAAGAGTTGCAATTTCTGTTAAGCTATGGTTGCTGATCTTTTCCAGCTGTTCCTGTGTATATGTATGTATGTATGTATCTACGCATACTTACGTTCATAGTATGTACGCAGCATGTATGTAAATGCGGCTGTATACATATATACACATAATCATAACATCTGTAAATAAATAAATATATATATATATATATTTGTATATATGTATATATACATACACACACACATATATATATATATACATAGACCAGCAGCATACAGTAGTGTTCAACACTTTCGAAGCTTGAGTTGCTACAACAAGAGGCCACATGCATGAACATAGCCAAAGAAATAGTACTGCCTTGTTGTTGGCACACACAACACAACATAAACACACACACACACACAACCGAACAAACAAGCTACAGCGCAAGTGAACCAAGTGCGGGTCAATACGTGGGCAAAGGGTTGGCGTTTGTATGTATATATATATATATATATATATATACATATACACATACGTATACATACACATACATACACGCATACATACACACATGCATACAAACATACATACTTACCTACCTAATTACTAATCACATACGTACATACATACCTACACACAGACAGACATACATACATGCATGTATGCATACATAGATACATACATATTACATGCACATACATAAATAGATTAATATCTGCGTTGTGTTCCTTTGGGCTTTGCACAGGTGTATACCCCTCCGAAGATTCGCCAACCAGCCACGGACACCAACCCGCGATCTCCACCTCCCAGACAACACCACTGGGAGTCGTCCGAGCGTATGTTGTGAAGAACTGGAGAACCATGTCCAGCAAAAAAATGAAGTCCGTACCTCAGTGGTCTGACCGGTCATCGTACTTTGTTGCACAGTTTAGCGGTCTTAACCATTGGAGTTTCTTCCAACGCAGGATTAGCTCTGAGGACTAACTGCAAGCAGAAGGAAGACTAAGACCAAGATGCACATGCTCAGCACGAACAGGGTGTCGAAGGAGATGTCGAGCAAACAAACCTGCACCGAGACTCCGACTTGGACCGCGCCGTTCGTCGTGCAAGGTATGACTGCTGCTTGGAGAGATTCAAGAGTAGTTAATGCTAGTTATAAGTCGGGCCATGAGTCCTGCACATGTAATGTGGGTTCTAATTGTAACTATAGCTATCCTACTTATCAATCCCACCTATAAGTGACCATGAACCGCCAAGTGGCTCACCCCGTGGAGCAATATACGAGTCGAAACCAATGAAACAATGCCCTTCACTGGGCTGGTCTCAGTAGATGTATGCCTTCTTTATCGTATCCAGCACTACATCTCGTTTTGTATATGTTCACGAAATGCCCAGTTTATCAGAGAGCGAAGTAGCTGGACCTCGTGTATGAGCCGAATTTCCTTTACAGCTTTGTGCTGCAAATCCGGAAGCTGTGCAAACGGAAGTAGAATTTTGAGAGCTTTAGAAGATGAGGGACCCTTTGTAATGCTGACGAGCAGGATGCCTGAGTAATGCATGTACCATTTGAAAAGAAACAGCTACACGGTTCAAGTCCCAAAAGCTCGTATAGGGGAACGCTCGCTGGAGTGAACCGCCCGTTGGATCAGGCGCTTTAGGCTGCTAGGGCTGCAAGGTCAGGCTTTACGTTTTAGGGTAGCGGGTTTAAGCGCTTCAGGGCTTCGAGGGCTTCAGGTTGAGGGCTATGTCGGACCTGGAGAGGCGTAACCAATGCAGTATAGGCCATGGCAGCGGCAGACATAACCTGCCAGATCGTCGCGAGGCCATTGCTGTCAGGGTTCATGACATACCACCTTAGTGTAGGGATGGTTGAGGACTTAAGGCTTTAAGCCCAATTGCTGAGCGCTTTAGGGACACATGAACCCAGCAAGGCTCATGGTACCAAGTCTACTGAGGCCACCTTGCAGCTGGAAAGCTCGACGACGTCGTGCACAGGGCCGGCTTCGGATTTGGGGTGGTAGGTTTTAGGAATTTTGGTTTTAAGGGACCGTTGCTGGGCGGTCGTTGCAGCCACCCTTACCCACACCGCAAAATTTGGGGCAACAGGCCCAAGACTGCAGCAGCTTCTTGCAGCCGGATGGCGGCTTCAGAGCCACAAAGTGTTTTGTCCTTCGAGGGAGTAGGGTTTTGTTTTTTTTGAGCTCCTTTTTATGTCTGCCCCTCATTCAGGCTTACATGGGTCTTGGGGTTTAGGCGGTAGGGTTTTGGGTTCAGGGTTGGGGGCAGAAAAGGCAAAACGAGAGAATAACTTCTTTGGATCTAGAGGTATCCAGTGGTCCCTGATGCTCTTGCATCGAGAGTTCAGGGCTCTGAACACGAGGACCACTCCGACGAACTCTTACCGTAAAGTAGTGGGGTTTAACGTGTGGAAGCATGTGGGGGTATCCGGAAATAGGAGACCTGATCTAGCACCCTACATAGTAGGATCCTTATTTCAAAGGGACCCCGTATTTTCGGAAACTCCCAATTGGATTCTAGGCACATGCTAAGCCCCGAATCCAGGAAAGCTGCCTTTGGCCGTGGACGAAGTTGTAGTGGTCGCGGTCACGTCGAATGATTCCAGGCAGTTGGAAAGAATGGGACTGATCTTCAGACTCCTGCGGGATCCACAGAGATTTTTGTTTAGAGCTTTTGCTTGCATGCCTACTACTACTGCTACTACTACTACTACTACTCCTGCTGCTGATGCTACAACTACTGCTCCTACTACCACTACTACTACTACTACTACTACTACTACTACTTCTTCTTCTACTTCCACCCCTACTACCCCCACCCCTACCCCTACCCCCACCCCCACCCCCACCCCCTACCCCTACCCCACCCCTACCCCTCCCCCTGCCCCTACCCCTACCCCTACCCCTACCCCTACCCCCCCCTACCCCTACCCCTACCCCTACCCCTACCCCTACCCCTACCCCTACCCCTACCGCCACCCCTACCCCTACCCTACTGCTACTGCTACTGCTGCTGCTACTGCTGCTGCTGCTACTGCTGCTGCTACTGCTGCTGCTGCTGCTACTACTACTACTACTACTCCTGCTACTACTACTACTACTACTACTACTACTACTACTACTACTACTACTACTACTACCACTACCACTACCACTACCATATACTGCCACCAGCAGCAAAAAGCACAAGCATGAGAACACCCACCGCCACCACCTCCACCACTACCTCTTCTTGTTCCACAGTGCAAGTTGCTGAAGACTGCGCAAGAAAGAGGCGCACAGCAGGCGAAGTCCTCGAAGACTGGGCTTTGCTGGATGCGCTGCATGATCTTACCTCATTCCGTCTGACTTCTGAATCTTTATGTCCACTGTTTTCCCACACATCCTGAACCCTCAAACTCACAACAATAACAACTTGAAGATGATGTTTGAGGGCCCGAAAAACTCCTGAACCTCAACCCTCGTCCCTCATCTTGCCTAACCCAAAACCCGATTCCAAGGCCTCAAAACGCTGCTTCGAGCCCTTTGAGCCGCCTGTATCCTTATAAGCACATGAAGCCACACAAACTCAAACCGCAGCTGCCAAGACGCTGCCTTGCTTGGGATAGGGCGCCGACGGTGGGGCCGGGCCTCCTCTATGCTCCGAACTCCATGCCTCGGCGGATGAGGTTTCAGAGTGATTTTAAAAGGGGCGCAGAAGAGCAAATAAGCAAAAATCGAGGTAGGGACATCCCATATACACCCTCTTGTAATTGTAATGAAGCCCAAGCAATGCAGCGATGTCCATGCGAAACGTAGAGGAGTTACGACGGCCACACTCGAAGGGCAACCAGACAAATGCTGGTGGGGTTCAGGCCGGACAGGCTCCTATCCGGGCAGAAATCGGCGTGTTTTGCTGCTTCGAGGGATCCAAAAACTCTAAACACTAAACATATTGGTGAACAAATATTTTTCACCTAAACATATTGGGGAAAAAATATTCTTTCCCCAATATGTTTAGTGGGGGACAAAAATATTTTTTCATCAATATGTTTAGTGCCTCTGCCAACGGCATAAACACGTCGACAACTTTCGGCGACTTGGCAGCCGATCGCGCAGAAACTTCTGCCTACCCTTGCGCAACAGCCTCCAGCATCTAGAGCCTCGACCGAGTCTAGGTTCTAGACATCTTTTGCCCCACCTGTACAGTAGAATCTAGGGTTTCTATTTTCGGAACTGCTATTATGGCTTGGGGGAAGTATATATATATATATATATATATATATATATATATGTAGATATTTATCTATATATTAATTTATATATACATATGTATATCCCCCGCAACAGTACCTATATAGGTCAACCCGAAAAGCCTCAAAGAGACCCTCAGGGCCTGAAGCCCTGAATCCCTGAAATCCTCAACACTCCCAAACCTCCAAAGGTTTAGACACCTTGTAACACTAAAAAAAATAATTTTGATACCTTTTTGCATCCAGCCTGCAACGCCTCTGCTGGTAATTTTGATACCTAAAGCCTAAAACCTTAAACCCAAAGCCTTCTCAGTTCCAGCCCCGGCGCAGTTTCGAGTGATCTCTGCTTGGCAACTTCTTGCAGGCGTCCGCCTGGCGAAGAGTCTGGGAGCATCGCACCTTTGCAGCGCAATTTTCGGAGCTTTTCGGGTTCCGGGGTCATGTAGAGTTTAGGACGTAAGATTTAGGTCAAGGGACCCGATGTCTTCCTCAAGCATTGCAAGGGGTGTTTGAAAGCGCGCAGCTTGGACAGGGTTTAGGTGCCAAGGCTTCGTGTGCGTACATTTCACGAGGGGGTTTAGGGTTTAGGGGTTTAGGGTTTATTTAGGGGTTTAGGGTTTGGGTGTTTCGGCGTTCGCACTCGGACAATCCGGGCGAGGGATGTGGTTCTGAGTCTGAAGGGTGAAACGGGAAAGTCATGATGACATTAAGCAACAACAGAACTATCAAACACCTAAATAGTGACAGGGTTTCAAACCCGGACATGACCTTTCATTGCTGGCTTAGGTTTTTGGTTTTAGGGTGGTTTAGAAAAGCTGTATTTACATAAGGGAATGTGCGAACGCTGCTGCTGCTACTGCTGCTACCAACTAACACAACCACCACCACCCCCACCACCACGACGACTGCTGCTGCCGTTGCTGCTTCTACTGCCACTGCTCCTCTTCCTCCTCATCCTCCTCCTATGATGACGACTCCTGCTACGTACTACTACTACTACTACTACTACTACTACTACTACTACTACTACTACTGCTACTGCTACTGCTACTACTACTACTACTACTACTACTACTACTACCACTACCGACCCCCCCTACCAACCACCTGGCGCCTTGACCCATCATCATCATCATCTTCATCAACGAACATGACAGTTGTAGAAGATGCAGGGGCTCAGGCCCCCTATCTGCGACAGCTACAAAAGTTGCGGAGGCTCACTTGCCTTAACTGCCACAGACGCAGGGGCTCAGGCTCCCTATCTGTGACATCTGCAGAAGTTGCCGAGGCTTACTTGCCTTAACTGTCACAGCCGGCGAAGTTGCAAACGCTCAGGCCCCAAAACTGAAACAGCGACTGGAAGTGCAAACTCGACGGGGAAGAAACTGCCAAACGACAGGTGGTCAGATAGTACGAAAACGACGTAAATACCGTGCAAAACGCAGGTGCTGCCAAGAAGGTTTAAACACTCCTTTTTGCTGAACAAACATCTTCTAAACACCAAAAACAAAGATGGCAGCTGTATGTGAGAGGGGCTCGCCAACACCCTTAAAGCCCAGACCTCGGTGTAGGAGGCTTTGCTTTTGAATTGGTGTTGGTGTTCGTGAGGCTGCCTGTAGGTCATCATGCCCATCCCCCCCGAGGCAACAACGGTGCCAAAGAACGGTGGTTGGCAATAGACCGCGACATGACCAAAGTACTTTAAATACCGAATAAAAAACCAGCTTCCCCAAACCAATTTCGAGTTTTCGCCGAAAGCCCCCGTAAAGCCCAATGTCGAGTTTGCAAAGTCCAGAGGTACGTTAGTCCTGTAAATACCGAGCAGAACGGCTCTTCAATGTCGTCATAATCCCCCCCCAACCCCCCCAACCCCCCAAGAGAAAGTCCGGAATCGGAACCTGGAGTTTACAAAAACGCAGCTTAATTTTGAAGCTTCGTAAGATGTTCCTACATGACGAAAGGGCTGTGAATACCCAGTAAAACGGATGTGTGTTACAAGAGTATGGTCAGATGGGTGGTTGGTAGGGGGGCACCGACTACTACTACTACTACTACTACTACTACTACTACGCCTACTACTACTACTACTACTACTACTCCTACTACTACTCCTACTACTCCTACTACTCCTACTACTACTACTACTACTACTACTACTGCTACTACTACTACTACTACTACTACTACTACTACTACTACTACTACTACTACTACTAACTGCCACTACCACAAGCACCACCACTACCAGGACCAGGACCACGACAACTACTGCTGGATGCTGCTACTAACTAAGTACTAACTACTAACTAATTACTGCTACTAGCTCCGAGCTACTTACTAACTACTGTCTGCTGCTACTCCCCCCGTTGAATCGAAGCGTTTGCTGCTCTGCCGCATACGATTTAGGACTTAGGGTATCAAAGTCCTGTTTGCAGCGCCTCGGCACAAGAGGCGTGGGACAGTGTTGTTCCAAACATCGTAAACTCGTACTCCTTCCAAACTCTCCAAGCGGCTCTGCTCTTTCGCAAAGGCTGGAGCTTCATGAGGCTGACTGTTTGCCTTGGCAGTAAGGTAAAAGCCAGAAAGTTGGAATATGATTATCCTAACCCTTCTATGGTAAATTATAGTGTATCCTACCATGAAACCATATTCCAACTTTCTGGCTCTGGAGCTCCCTGTAGTCAGGGCTCCCCTCCTCGGCTTACCACTCTGGCGACCGACTGAACTGCAACTAGGATACCCAGTAACCTAAGAATAAAAAGGTCTCTCTTTTTGGTATTGGGTAACTTTATAAGGAACCTGGGACTACAAAAGGGAATAAGGGTACTACTGGGCATCCTAGGCAACCTCGAGAATTGCTGAGGAGAGTTGTGACAACTGTGCTGATGCAGAGTTGTCATCAGCGGATAGCTGGCTGAAAGGTGAGGTTGATTGCTCTTACGTCCCTGCATCACACGGCACGGTCGCCGCTCGACAGGCTGCTGTTTACAATAAGTTGCATAAATTCTGGGGTGTATCATCCTTTACTAACTATATGTGGATTACCAGATTCCGCAGTAAACCCTCCAATGCAAATCCTCAAATCAGGTACCCCGTTTCCGAGGCTTGTCTCATCCATCCATCCGTCCGTCCGTCCACCACCCCTGCTTCCATCCATGCCATCCATGCATCCATCCACCCATCCCTCCGTCCGTCCATTCATCCGTCCACCAAGCCCCTGTAAAACCCCTTCGGTATACTCATGTAGCAACACTTCGACTAGCTATTCCACGAAACCTACAACTACTCTGTAAACATCAAAACACCCTGCCATGAGCCCATGAGATAACACTTCTGCAAACTCGTGCGATAATAAACTTCTCCAAAGGCCCTTCTATAAAGCCCTCCCCTACCGGGCTTTTAAGTAACCAGGGAGGATATAATAAAGAAGCATAAACTGTTATTGAAGAACGGTTCCTGTAAGAAAAAGGCATGGTACTCAAAAGCTCAGTCTAAACACTTCCATCAAACCCTTCCACAAACGTTCATGTACAATGCCGAAACATCTCTATCAACCCACCGGCCGGATGTGCCGGCACCACCAAGAGGGTAGTCATCTCGAGTCCAGCATGAGGCCAGCGTATGCGAATTTACTGTGGAGCGCAAGGTGACGATACACGCTCGCCTTTAAGGAGACTGCTCAATCCGAGGACGAATCACCACAGGCGCGGCACAGTTCCGCGATTCACGGCGACTCCTGCTAGCCTGCTCCGTGCGTGTTAGAACATGAGAGGCAACCTCAGGAAAGCCCAAGGGCCAACCTCGTATCACACCACCTCCACGACAAAACCGCTCGCCACACCCTGGACAGAATTTGTGCACATGCTGAGGAGAAGGGGAATTTCTTGAGCTCTTTGGCCAAAGTACCAGGACCGGTCGGGTGACTCGGCTTTTCGCCTGCAGCTTGGAGAGAGCTCGAGTTAGACTTCATGCCCTGATTCTTCGGCGTTGTGCTTTGGCTTTTCGGGCATAGGGTTAGGGCAAGGGACTCGCAACTAATTCGGACCCTCAAACAAGGGCATCTGCGTGCAGAAGTGCCCTGCTACAGTACGTAAGCTGCTTCGGGACCAGGGTCCGGCTTCAAGTGCTTACCTTTTGGACATCTGATCCGAATGCTTCGAAAATGAAGGTGACAGCACAGTACATATGTGACAAGCTCACCCAATCGGCAGTACTAAAATTACTGCTGCTTCCGTATCGTCTGAAGCAGTCGCGATTCGAGTTTACTCTTGGTTGCCAACACCTTATGAGCCGCTGGCCTCCAGCTCGCTCAGCTTCACGAACTGACGCTCCAGCTCCTGAGCATCAAGGAGGCTAGCTAGCTGAGGCGCATGGTTGCAAAGTCACTGCTTTCAAGTCTTCGAAGCCAAAGTCCGTGAAGAGCTTCCCGGCATCACTCCCCTAAAGATGTCCCCACCAAAACCTCGTGAGCTTCCTGCAAACATGTCTCGATGCTCTCAAGCACCTGCACGCGGTTTTTATCTGCACACACACTCGGACAAAGCTGACGAGGCTCTCTGCAGATCTCGGAAGGCCGTCTTGGTTCCTTGCTGAGACTTTGCTCACCTCCCATATTGGCACCGTTGTCGTATGCCGCAGGAGAAGCGTCAGTGCAAGTGCCGCAGTTGGATCCCCGGACATGATGCGAGCCACTAAAATCATATGAATCATACGCCATAAGAGTTCTGCAGCTCATGAGTTCAGAGTCCGGCCTTCAAATGCGGCTGCGTAGTGCAGGACCGGTTTGCTGGGGTGTTCTTGTGCCCACCCGGCTTTGTTTGATTGCTGCTGTCCCTAAGGTGTCTAGAAATCCGAGAATGCATAACCTACCCTAGACCCGGAGCCCTCTGAGCCTAGCGTGCTGTTTAGGAATTCAGCACCTTCCGATGGGGCGACGTGGCGATCCATTGTAGCTGGCGAAGCATGCACTAGCACTCGCCAGCTCCCACTGCCCAGATGTCTCCAACAGGAACACAATATGCACTATGCAAGTGATATTTTCCAGGTTAACAAGAATCACGGTGCTTCTAGGACAGCAGCATCGGCTCGTACCGAGCCCATTTAAACATATGACAGCAGGTCCAGAACAGGCTGGCTACGTGATGTAGCACAGGGACCAGGGACGAAGAGTTTGAAAAGAGCGCGCAGTGCCAAAAATGTATGCAGGCGGACCCTGCGCGTTTTCGTCTGACAGGATAAGGAGCATCCGGTGAGAAAGGCTTCGGGCTTGGGAGGGTTCTTCCACCGAAAGGCCCGAAGATCCGGCGCCAAGGAAACAAACGGCTCAGCTATGGGCCCTCACCTGCCCCACTCCTGGCAAGCTGCGGTCCGGTAGGGAGCTTACATCTGCCCCGCCTCTTCTTCCATCACCTGGGTGGTTGTCAAAATTATGGTGCTTTTTTGGGTCCCTATTATAATACAGCACCTATTATCTAGGGTACCCAAATGGGAGTTTCCGAAGATAGGGGACCCTACTATAGTACCCCAAATAGTAGGATCTTGAGTATAATAAGCCCCCAAAACAAGGTACCCCTAGTTCTCGGAAACTCCCAAATAGGGACCCTAATATTGACAACCACCCACCTTCTTCTCTGAGGCCTTCTCGGGAGGCTGCGACTTGTCCAGCCATGGACCGAGTTGTGAAGGCACGAAACCTAGTTCATGGTTGGGACAGGACTAAAAGTCTACGTGTTTATTCCTATTTTTGGGTTTACCCATGTTTATTCCTATTATTGGGTTTAGGTACCCATAAAAATGTAAAATGTTACCCAACGATGACAAAGAAGCCATCCGGCCCCATTTCAGCGATTTGCATCTCCTCACAGCACAGGAAGCACTGCAAGGTGGTGTCCACAGCAAGCTCGAAGATGCTAGTGAAGAGGCGGCCCACGACATAGCCCAAGATGATGTAGATAATCATGGGGACAGCCGGGGCCATAGCTGGATGGAGTCCGGAGAGGGTGAAGTACCCCAAAACAGCCGTACCAGCAGTGATGAACATGATGCCAATGACGTGGATCATGCTTCCCAGAATGGCGACAGTTCCAAATCTCAGTGCGTTTCGAAGAATGAGGAAGAATGCCTTTTTTGCCGAAGTGCAGAAGTTCGTGCCCTTCAGGGCGATCTGGATGTAGGCGTTTTTGTTGAGGAACTTGATGCACTTCTCAAAGCACCAGATGAGGCATTGGAGCACCTTGAGGATCAAGACCACGATCCGATTCTTTTGCGCCTTGGCCTGCTGCTCGTAGTACTTGAGCATGTACCGGATGAACTGGACAAGGGCGACGATGAAGGCGCCAAAGGCCACGGAGCCCAGATGGTAGCGGAAGACCATCCAAAGTGATCGGCGGATGGCATTCTTCTTGCCCTTATTGGTGTTCTTGGTGAAGAACCACACAACCACCGCACCGGCAATGATGATCTGCCCGATGGCAATGTTCAAGGCATTGTTCCACAAGTACACGAAGAAAGACACTGCAAAGCGCCAGTCGAATCCATAGCGCGGCTGGGAGCACCGCCAGCAAGCCATGGTCCTGGGCTTCTCAGTAACCATGCTGACATAAGAGGGACCCAAGAACAGAAAAGTTAAAGACTTAAACCTGACATCCCGTAAATCCTCAGCTTTCCTAAACCCCGTAAAAGAGTACTAAACCGAGGGTCCCGTTCACAAGCTCGCAGTTTTCCTCGTCTTTCCACACGGAGCCGGTCGGCCAGGTACCGGTGCACTGTCCTCAGCTCTCCAGTGTCCCCAGGGGAAAGAGGCTACCAAATAGGGATTATGATACCCCGAAAAGGTTGCTCACTCTACGACTGAGTGTCCAGGTACGTCGGACGTACCGTAGGCTTCGGCGTAGGTTGCAAACACGGTCTTTGGCACATAGTCATCAGGAACCTGGCTGAGCAAGAAGGCTGCTGAGAGGCCCCAGACCAAAGTCCAGAGCCCAGCGACCAGGGCCTGCACAGCAGGCAAGATCAGGATCATAGGCGTGTGCACGACGAAGACGGAAGCCACTTTGTTCACCGCAATCGCCAAGCGAATCCTGTTTGTCAGGCAGCAGACAACAATGCAGTAAATGAAGGCGAGGACCCAGAGGATGTACGCAAGAACCTCGAGGACGATACGCAGCTCCTCGCTGTTGATGTCATAGCCTCCATCGCAAACAGGCCTGATCTGCCCAATAGGGTTGCACTCCTGCCAGTTGTAGTCTGGGTCTTGGGTGAAGCACCAGATGGTCTTTGCCTTGTAGCGGTCTGTGTCCTGGAATGGATTTCGGCAGTAGTTCGAGACCAAGTTCGAGTCGGGGTAGTTGGCCGCCGTGTAGGAAGGGCCCCGGGAATCCGGGATCGCGGCATCGCCCCATTCGTAGCACAGCTTGCCGAGCTTGCTGTACCGCTGCACACCTGTGTAGTTCGAGCCATACAAGCCCGAAAGCTCCTCGGAAGCCGGCGTCGTTTGGCTGATGGCGTTCTCAATGACCACCGCGGCCGTGGTAAGGGCCCCGACGACCATTGTCTGGCCCGTCTCAAAGATCCCAACTCCGCTGCACTGCGATGACTTGATGAAGGAGAAAGCACCACCGAAGCAGAGAACCAAGAAGAAGAGGAAAACAGAGATCCAGACGCAGCAGCCGACAAGGAAGCGTAGTGCTACCATGTAGATGAAGCCCACGAGGAAGGAGGCCAAAAGCGTGATGAGGAACGCATCGATGGAGGTCTGGAAATCGCCGACCCAAGTACCGACAGTGTCTGAGAGGCTGGCGGAAAGATCTGCAATGCCCAAGGCTTCCATGGTGTCTGTCATGGCGGATCCTAGGGCGTTCACGACGTCCGCCGTCATTTCGAAGGTGCAGTAGGGTGAACCCTCTGTAATTTCCATGAAGCCAACACCGGGCATGGGCACGCATCGTTTAGCCGGGTAGGGGCAGACATCCAGGGGCAAAGCTTCAAACTTGAAGTCGTTGCTGATGACGCTCTGGATGGAAAGGATCTCCGCCCTACTACCGGAGTAGCCCTTCAAAGTGTCGAAGGCGAGTTTGAGCGGATTGTCCGGGGTCATGTCGTAGACATACTCACGGGCAGTCGCGCTGCCGTTCACCAAGCTGAAGTCAGCAGCACATCCGGTCAAGCAGACTTCGTTGAAGTAGAGGGAGGCTTCGTTGAAGATGTCCTCAAAAGCCTGGCCGTTGGCACCAGTGGGCGAGAACAAGTTATCTGCACTGACCTTCCCACGAAGCTCCGCCAACTTCGAGGTGATCACCGTAGAGATGTCCGCAGGGTTCGCCAAGTCTCCGCCCACGTTGAGGCTTCCATCACAGGCGCCGCAAGGGATGAGGCAGCAGCCGCATAGATAGTCCTCGGCCTCGAAGCCGGTAAGCAGGGGGCCCTGCGTGGGGAGGCCCGAGTAGCCGTCGACCATGGCCGTCCTAAAGGCGCTTGAACACATCATCTGCTTGACGATGACATCCGTCACGGAGCTCACGTTCATGGTGAAGCTCTGCTTGGGGAAGCCCTTCAGGTTTGGGCCACTGTTCCAGTTGCTCTCCACATCGCAGTAGGCACCTGAGAAGTCGCGGGGTTGGTAGAGCCTCGCAGGGTTCCCGTCGGTCATGCCCATGATCGTCACCACGATGTAGGCGACCCAAGCAGCCACCAGCACGATGAGGCACCAAGCGTCGGTGCAACCTCGGTTCGGAGTAGGTCCGAAGTCCTGGTCCTCCTCTTGCTCGAAATCGCTCTTGTCGGTCACCTTTTCCTCCTCCTCATCCTTCTCAACCTCTCCACAGCAGCAAGACATTTTCTATGCGAGCTGTCACAGGTGGACGAGTCAGGGAGCGGTGGGCGACTCACAACAGGGCACTTGAGCAAAGGCTTCAGGGTCGAGTAAGGGTCATTGCAGCTCTCTCGCGGCCACAAGATGACTCGCGGCCAAACACCCCAAGTCGCTTGGCCGCGGTTCTGCCTCCGGCTTCAATTGAAACCCTGGGCCCCGCAACTGCGCAGTCGATCCTCCTACCCGGAACCTGGCTTTCTAGCGTCCTGGCACATGCAGCGGCATGGAAGGCCATTCTAACCCGAACATCCTTGCAACCGACACGGAAGTTCTAGCCGAGTCTCCACAGTGAGCTCCCGCACAAGTTCACGCCAGCGCTCCGGCATTGCAGCGAAAGCTGGTTGTGATAACTGATGAAAAATTACAATAATTACAGATTTCACATTACACTTTCTTTCTGCGGACCCTATGCCTCAAAAAAATGAAACCCGAAAACCCTGAACGTCTTTTCTTGCCTACATCTCGTGGACCGACCACCAGGAGCAGTCTCCGCGGGGCAGTTCCGGCAAGACTAGCTTGGAAGGGACGGAGCGCTGCTACGGAAGTCAGGTGCTGCAACAGAAGAATGCTGGCTGGCAGATCTGTATGATATGTGTCTGTGTATGTGTAATTAAAGTGTATGAGTGTATACGAATACAATACCAGTACAAATACAAAAAGTAAATATTAGATACATGTGCATAGATAAATATGTTCTGAATATACATGTATGATTATCTTTTTGTTCATTTATTTCTTGCATTCAGAAATCTATGCTGGGATGCTGTACCACGTTCCGGGGCTCGCCCATAAGTTGCCTCCATGTCCTGAAGCCTCAAGCAGCTGCAGTGCATGCCGTCTGCGTTGGCATCGAACTTGAGGCCGGTCAAAGGCTGAGCATGCGTCGACGCAAAAGCTTGTTGCCTGGCTAAAACGATGCATACGAGGCTTCGCGCAGTCGATCATTGAGCTTTTAACAAGTGTGCTGCATCGCCCGTTCGGCCGGAGGCCTCTTCCTCCTGCTACGACTCGTTCGCTCTACGACCCGATGACAAAAAAAAGGTTCCGACACTAGCATATGCCAACCATGACACTCGATGAGTCCCTACTGAAGCTCGCAGGGTCTGCGGCAAAAGCCGAGACATCCGCACATACCATGATGCAAGCCCGACAGCCCGAAAACCTGAAACCCTGCAATCCTCACCCGCCTTGCAGAGCGCATTGCTCAGCATCTTCGAAGATGAAACGGCTGAAGGCCACGCGAGCTTCGACCGTTTTCATTTTCCAGCCTGGGCCCCAAAAAGTTAGCAATAGTAAGGATAAGGTGTTGGCCTAGATGACAGCGCCACGCCGCCCCAACAGAATCCATCCTTGATCTGAAGCCTTTGGAAGCCGGAGGCATGTCAAATGGCTGAACAATGCCTGCAGTCTCCCGTGGAATTCACTTTGTGGTTACCGCTCGGATCATATATGTAGTTAGTGTAAAACCCAGCATGGTAAGCAGCCCATTATACCATAGTTATAGTAAGGAACCCTCAAAACAGTATAGATCATCATTAGGCCCCTATAGTAGCTGCATCCAACTGGCAGCTTGCTCCCCCGAGGCGCTCTTCCACTGCGGGCCTGCAGGGCTTCGTGTTGTGGCTTAAGGTTTCGGAGGTCACACTCGGACAATCCAGGCGAGGCATATGGTTCGGAGCTTAAGGTTTAGGGCTTAGGGGTTTAAGGTTTCGCTTCTGGTCCTGATACTGAAGATCCCCCAGCATTGAAGTCAGGAATAGGCTTTCCTCAAGGCTGTAGATCTCCCAGGACTCCCAAGCTCAGGAGAGAATGCCCGAAGCTGCGAAGGATTCGCAAGTTTGAAACCCCAAACGCACCTTCACCCCCACTCAGCGAAGAGGCTCCAAGCTGGGCACCCCAAAAATTACACCCTGCACACCTTAGTCTAAGCCACTGCTTCCTAATTACCACACCCCCCAAACACTAAACCTCCTACACCCCATGCCTGTACCCTGAACCCTAAACCGCGCGCGAGGTCAATATAGTGCGCACCTGCAGGCGTAGACCAGAAGATGGTTGTCCTCAGCAAAAAGGTTTAACTAGATCACAATAAATAGCAATAACATCGTTTTTTTAAATGAAACAATACTGAAAGAAACTATGCGAGTTTTACCAATTATGGGAATAATAGTAATACATAGCAAGAGTTGGTAGGCAATCTCGGCGGGCTGTGCAGACCAATCTCGCTATGTCTCTCTGCACCACCTCTAGTTCCGATTGAAGCTAGGGCCATGAACGCGGCTGCTATTCTGCCAAGTGTCCATTGCTCGCAAGGCCAGGAATATGCCCTCCACGTGGTGGCGCTCACGCTCCTGTCGTCAGCTGGTGGATTCGATACATGTTGATTATTACGACCATCTGGCGAACTAAGCTGTTGATCCTGTTGCTGAGATGACGACATACTAAGAAAGCGGTATTTGGAGGCACCGCATATACGCGTATCCTACACACCTAAATACCTGCGTCCCTATACTACTTGCCCAGCTACCTACCCATCTACATACCTACGTACATACATTCATACATACATACATACATAATTACATACATACATACATACATACATACATACATACATACTTGCATACATGCATAGAAGTACATGTACGCGGGGCATCCTTGATGGGATCCACGCTTCGGCAATCATTGAAATGATCCCTTTCCCGGTCCTCGGGTGTCCGCGCATTCCTGTAGGCCCTGCACGCCGAAGGGGCAAAAGGGTCAGGTTCGCGATTTTGCGATAGAAGAGTAGAGGTTGTTTCTATATGTATATAGTATAGTATGGTACGGTACAGGGGTACTTCGCATGGTCTAGTGCGGAAATGTATAAACCCTTAAACCCAAAGCGGAAGTGGTCAGTCCCATGCGAGCCCAAACTGAAGTAAAAGAGTCTAAACTCGTTCGACAACATCTCTTGACACGAATTCTTATAGTGGCTGAATAATCAGAATAGGGTTATGGGGCATTCTACTGTAATTATAATAAAGAACCCCCAAAATAGGTCCCCGTTGTATGCACAATCACGGTCTCCGTGAAGGGACTCCTCAAGCCCAGACCGTCCCAACACGCCACCCTCGGAACTCCCTGCGGCAGTGAGCCTCCAACAGGACATGACGAGCATCAGCTGCACCAGGATCTGCATCACGCCAACCTGGTTGCGCAGAACATGTAGTAAAGGGGCCTTAATAACTTAATAATTGGACTTAATTGCCGTAAGATTGGTAATTATTGCGACGGCGAGGAGTCTGAAGAGCAGGTCGAAACGGTGCGCAGAGAGACAAATAGGAACAGCAAAAAGATGACGAGGCGCAAAACCCTGGCACGTATGTAGACATATATATATATATATAGATTTTCATATATACAGGTATACACATATACAAATGAAAAGTTCAATGCGTATGTATGTATGTCTGTATGCACACAACTGTGTATATCTGTATGTGTGTGTATATATATATATATATATTTATTTATTTATGCTTGCATACACTCAACCTGTCTATGCTGTTTATGTATATAGAGAGAGCATGAGACTTCATCATCTGACATCGCTTGGATACTCACAAGATTGGTTTGAAGCTTAGAGCAGGATAGTAGATGCCACCCCGGTTTTTAGATGGCTTGAAAGGACGAGCCATAAAGTCATGCTCAAGCTTGAGAGGCGTGTTGTCGCCTGTGTGACTTCCGAGGTGTAGCTGTGGTAGCAGACTTGACATGAATCTTCCTGGTTGGTGCTTTTTTCACTTTCCTTCTCGAATATGAGCCAACCCAGCAGAAGCCGTCTAGACTGGCCCCTGCCTGTTGCACACATGTCTGCATACATATATATATATATATACATCTGCGTATGTGTGTGTGTGTGTGTGTGTGTGTGTGCGTGTGTGTGTGTGCGTGTGCGTGTGCGTGTGTGTGTGTGTGTGTGTGTGTGTGTGTGTGTGTGTGTGTGTGTTGTTGCCGATGTAGTCATTCGTTAGGTACAGACACGCGTGAAACCGTGTTGACACACATGGTGCATGCACATGAATCTAGAAGAATGCCGCTGATGCGAAACTCACTCCTGCAGCCAACTAACTCAATTGCGAACATAAGCACGGAAACAAACGTGCACGAAGGAATGTATGTATATGAGTACACACACATGTGCACCAATCTATATATATATATATATAGATTAATAGATAGATAGATATGCATATGTACGTACATAGGTATGCACGCGTTCATGCATCTATCCATGTATGTATGTGTGTATGTATGTATGTATGCGTGTATGTATGTATGTATGTATGTATGTATGTATGTATGTATGTATGTATCTCTCTCTATGTATACATATATATATATATATATATATATATATACCGACTATGTATATACTTGTACTTATGTGTACATACATATATATATATATATACACAGATATGTACATATGCACGTATGTATGTGTGGATGTTCATATATACACATTTGCATGCATGCACGTACGTATGTGGGTAATTTCATATATATATATATATATATATATATGGTACCCCCCCCCCCCCATGTACCCACGCCTTTCTTGTAAATCCCAGTTTTCGGAAGGCGTGGGTCCGTGGGATCCCCATCGTCCCCAAGCCTTTCTCCTAAATCTCAGGTTGAGGATGGTGTGGGAGTTTGGGATTGGGGGCAGTGCCTGCAGATTGCATTTTCCTATTTCATGTCATTAATTGGCGGGTTCCCTCCAAAATAGCCCCGAATCATCCGAATCACTTTGATTCGGTCCCGGCGCTGGATCCAAGATCCAAGATTGCCCAGAGGTCTTGTGCGGGCAATCTTGGATCCGACCCTCATCCGAATCATCCGAATCATTTTGATTCGGGCCCAGGCCCGGATCCAAGATCCATCTTGGATCTTGGATCTTGGATCCGGGCCCGAATCAAAATGATTCGGAAATGGTACGGATGATTCGGTTTCCCTCCTTCTTATTCGGCATGTGTACTGTCATGATAGTTATAACATCTGGTTTGTCATGAAGTATGCCAGTCATTATTCAATCAATACTGTGTTTGTTGCTTCAGGAGATGTAAGTCCAGCACGATTCTGAGTATCGTTTTTGTCATTTGCACGTTAGCGTAGTCCTCCATGATTTAGCCCATTGTGCAGTAATCTGTTCAATCAACTTCATCGTCATTGCAGTTATCCTACCGTCAACACGAAATTGCACATCGTATGTTCTAGACTTGTTTCCCGGCTCCCCTTCTCCTTCTATTATCACGTTGATCATATGCAACGTCTGGTCTTTTGTGAAGTATGCCAGTCATTTACGTTACCATACAGCTGTGACTGCCGTGATTCATCCCGTCATTTCTGTTTTACTGTTTGGACATGTAGACTAGCACAGCAATTCCATGCCAGCAGCGTCGTGCAAACTAGGAAAACTGAAGTTCATACTGATAGAACCGTTAATACCCTTTTGACATGTGCAAAAATGTTGATGAAATTTGGTCGGCCTAACCACTAGTTTTATAGTTTGACGGATTGGCCGGATTCATTTGTTGGACACACACATGACATATGTGCTCTTGCGATTGGATTACATACGTTGCTGCATGTTTTGTGAACATGTTCACGAAATCAATCCTGTCATGCTGTACACGACTAGGCATGAATCTCTGCTGGAAGACGGTACCGTAAGAAGACCACTTAATTGAGCGTCTTCGTCCGTTACCGTGTACGGAACTAGACGTATCGTCTACTCTTTTCTAGGACTGAAGCCTTTACTAAGGGAAATTTAGTGTTATATGGAAAATGTATTGGCTTCGCTTACACTTTTCTAAAGGGACATGTGTAGCGTGTGTTGCTTCATGCTTGGATGGGGGTGTTTTTAGGTGGGTCGCTTTCATTTTTGTACGTCTTGAACTGGTGCTTACACTAAAGAGCACTACCCAGTACAGTCACCATAAAACTCTGACATACAGGAGTCTTTATTGGTCATCATGCATTAGGTGCGAACAAGGTAAACGACTCTGTAAGAACAGACAAGCTCTAGCTCGATAGGATGGGCATGATTCAGATGATGCATAGACTAAAGATTACCGAAGCTCAGAATAAACATGTAAACCTTACAGTTCATATAATACAAGACTTCGACAACAACAAACTTATCTCATCAGTACCAATAGCAATATAGCTTAATCGAAGAGGAGTAGAATGGCGTAGAAAGTTCAATACGCAGCCAAAACATGTTGAATTATCGTCGGTCGTCGCCTCTTTCAGCTGGCTTCTAGGAACAAATATGTCGGCAGAATAAGCCATAATTTCACTGAGAGTTTTGGCGTATGTTGGCAAATCGTGAAGGCACAGGTGCAAATATTCGAAAAGCAATAGCTCGTAGGCTTATACTTTTTCAAAATGTGAATAAACGTAGGATTCAGCAACCAATACATTTACTTTTACAGGTCGGGCTAGTATAAAAGCCGGGTGAACAATAGCCACGGGACTAGCGTACCTAGGAAAGCTTTTTTTTGCAGACATACTAACACAGGGGGAAATATAGAGTGTTAGCTGGGTTACGTACCTAGGAAAGTTTTTATTCAGACATAGTAAGACAGGTGAAAATAAAGAGTGTTAGCTGGGTTGGTATTACTGAAGCAATCAGAACGGTGGGTATAACCATAGTAGTAGACACACTGGTCACACGAAGAACATCATTGGTAAATGTAACAGTGAAACTACACTTGGTGCTGGCATGGACGAAAATATTGCTACTTTCGTGTACTTTGCATATAACCAAGAACAGTGGAGATTGGAAAGGTTTGTATTGCGACGACGACGATCCCGCACAATTCAAGCGCAAAGCGTGGGTACATGAGGCGGGGTATCATACATATATATATATATATATAGAAATATCTGTTTGTAGTGTAGGTGGCAGTGAGAACCCCTACATGATGTAAGGCCTCCGATAAGCAGCCCCCACGAAAGTGCAGGAACCTTCACAGCAACCTCAAAGCCCGGAAGGCCGATATTCAGATGCCTTCAACTTCATGCAGCGAAGCCAGACAAAGTTCATCGACAGATATCAAAATTATGGCCCCTAATGGGGTACCCTAAGTATTAGGTGCCATACTATAATAATCCCAAATAAGGTACCCCTAATTTTCGGAAACTCCCATATAACCAAAGACCCAACCTGCGAAAGGTCGTAGCGAAGTCTTTCTTTGAGGCCCGGACCCCGAGGAAAACGAGCCAGGCCGAGACGAACCAGAGGTCGAAGCCACACCTCTTTTTTTGAGGGCTTATGTAGGGTTTACGTATGTTTCTAGACTTTATGTAGGATTTAGTGGTTCATTCTCTGGGGGTGTATGTAGGGCGTTGAGTCGTTCGGGTCTTCGGGTTCTTAGCCATAGGGTTGACGAAATACTTTGGTTTTGGCTCTTGGGGTTTCGGCTTCCTTGCGGGTTGCGGGGGTCTGCAAATCCTGCGACCAGCAAGATCAACATGCAACCAAGGTCTATGGGGTTTAGGACAAGGATCTGAAGAGCGAGGAACTTTAGCGACTTCGAGAATTGTAGGCCAAAATCTGGCTCGAGCACGACGTCTGTCAAAAACACACCAAAATGCTCGGCTCTGTGGCAGTAGCCCGAAGCGCCAAAGTTTCGGTACTGCCCCCATACAGTGAGAGTCCATAATAGGGCTACTATTAAGGTCCTAATATATCTTTACTATGCAGATTATTCAACTATTACTGAGTGGGGGCCGTACCCAAAGTGTAGTGGAGATGACGTCTCCTAAACCCCTGAAACCAAGTTTCTCAGACGGCAGCCCGGTCCTGGCGCCGCTCAGCACTCCCTTGTAATTTAAGGTACGTTCCTTAATTAAGGGGTATTGGGCTCTCTGAGTACTTAAACATCTCCATGCAAGCAAAGTCCCCGGCGTTCCAGCAATGACAGGGAAGGTCGCATCCTCCGCAGATGCAGTGCTGCAAGACCATTTCATGGGTTAAAGCAACATGGTGATTTCAAGTGGCACCTCATGCAGGGGTCGCTATAAGAAGGATCCTTCTATCTCGGGCTCGTAAACTGATGCTTGTTCTTTTCCGGAAACTCCCGCGAAGTCAATCATCCTCTTCAACATGCCTCAGCGAAAACGCACTCATTCCATAGACCCAACTTGGCTCGCACCAGACCTCTCGACAGCTACCACGGCATGAAGACCGCACACTTTGCCAACAAAAGGCAGCCAAATGGCCTGATAGAGATCCATAGACCCGAGTTCCCTTAAGGGACCTCTAAGGTTCGAAACATGGGGTTTTCCTTTTGAAGGTGACTAGAGGGTCGTATAGCGGGCCCCCCTTGCAGATTCCAACCAGCCACCCCAAGCCCAAAGGGCCTGATAGAGGTCCGTGACGCTGATGAAGGTGAAGCCGAATCGCAGGAGAAGGGGCAAGCGAAATCGTAAGAGGAAGTCCTGCGAGGAAGCTTTGGGATGAAGGGCTTCGGGGATCTAAGACAGGAGCCTACGTAATTGGGGGCTCCTTATTGCCTTTATAGTATATTGGGCCCCAAAACCCTCGTCCAATCATTAAGGCCCCTATATTATATGACTTCGGGATGCAAGGCTCGGGGGCGCCGGCTGTTTATGCCACAAGGGTTGCTATAAGGAAATCAGGGATTGGGAAACTAGAAGGGCTCCAGAACGTTGGAGGGATCTGAACCTGAAGGCAGGGAGGTGTATAGGGTTGTTTCCTCGCAGGGCCCTGCGAGGAAGCTTCGCTGCCACGAACTGCAAGCCGCAGCAAGGAACACGAAGCACAGAACCCACCACCCAAACAGAAGGAGCCGTCAGGGACGACCGCGAAACCCTATAATTAACTCTAAGCCTTCCGAACCTTTCCGCGTGTTGTCCTTGACGTCCCGCGAGTACTGCCGCACCTGTCGAGCATGTGAGCTGTGCCAGGGCTGAAAGAGCCATGGCAAAAACATGATGGGTCATGCAAGGGTGCTGGGACAAACGCACATAGTCTGTAACATGCCTATAGCCTGAAGGAGACCGCTGCCAAGATCTTGTTTCCCGCACGACGAAGAGCGCTAAAGACCACAACAACGATATTTTGTCTGATGGCTTCCCGCATAACATGCTTCCAACAACGGTGTACACGAATCGAACAACATCTTTCGCCGGAATGAATCGCCAAAACCTTGCGAAGCACACTGGACCCAGCCAAGCAACTTGCAGAAATATGAGCATGTCACCTTAGCTGAGCAGGATGGCTGTTAGTCGAAACAACCTTCATCACACGGCCACATGGGAAATTAGAAACTGAGCCAGCCTAATGCGATGCCACAAGCTGGTATCCTTGGCTTGGTTCATGTACAAACCCCCTAATCAACGAACAACATGGCAATGGGTAGTTGTCAAATTTTAGGTTCCCTTTTTGGATACCGTCAATAATAGGTGCCGGATCATAATTTGGGACCCAAAAGGCACCATAAGTTTTACAACCACCCACATAACTTTGGGAAACACTCAAACTCAAGCCTGGAGCCAGCTGCCATTATGGTGTAATGCTGACACTTTGTACTGTTGTCGACGACGACGATAGCACCGCTATACTATACTTACTTCCCTAGTACTCAGTGTTAGTACCTGCTGCTACTTACCAGATGCTGCTTCGGTGCTGATGCTGCTATATACTGCTATATACTGCTACTACGACTACTACTCCTCCTGCTGCTACTACTACTACTACTACTACTACTACTACTACTTTTTTGGCTCCCACTTGTCGGACTCACTCGGATTCCGCGCTGCAGGTGACGCGTCGACTTCGGCTAACTTGCTCAACAGCCCTCCCTTTATTGGTCTTGTGATTACTACTACTACTACTACTACTACTACTACTACTACTACTACTACTACTACTACTACTACTACTACTACTACTACTACTCCTACTCCTACTCCTACTCCTACTCCTACTCCTACTCCTACTCCTACTACTGCTACACTACCACTAGCACCACCAGTACAACCACCGCTACCACACCACTACCACTAGAAATACAACTACCACCACCACTGCCACTACCACCACGACAACGACCAGCCCTGCCACTACCACGACGACGACGGCGGCGGCGACGACGACGACGATTACTACTACTACAACCACTGCTTCACGTGCCACACGGGCTACTACTCTGGCTGCTACTCTGCTCCCTGATCTCTACCTGTTTGGTTCCACGATTCATGGATGCAATGGCACCTTAATCACTGCAAGCGTGCTGAGGGCAACCGGTCTTTCTCCCCATCAGGGCTGGAAAGGCACCCTGTGATAGAGCGAAGTACATCCGAAAGTATGGTTCAGGGCTTTAGTTTGTTGTGCTGCATCGGTTTACATACAGCTGAGTAGCAAATGAAGTTGCTGCCCAAACATGCGCCGACCCACGCGCCGTGAATCTGGGCATACTGGACTAGATGCGAGGGGGATTTGTGAAGGCTTCTACCTGAGAGCCGAGCCCTAACATGTCGAAGAGCGTTAAGTTTTCAGGAGTTAAGCGAGCTCCATACGGGCTTTACATGCATGGCAGAGCTTCTAGACAGGACTCTTACGGTTTCGAGTACATAGGGCTTAGGGTTCAAGAATACGGGGTTGATACCTGGACTGCGCTGCACGGTATAGTTGTTGGGAGGCTTCCTGGATTTCGAGCCTTCCAGTATAAGACCTGAGGGTACTGAGTCTGAGATTCCTACAGTCTCAAGCTCAGGATTTAGGATTGGGGTGCTTCGCCACGGAGAGTTTGGAATGCTGGACATCGTTGAGGACTTGTGCTGTGACCTCAAACGGGATGCACCCCGTGCTGAGCGTTGCCTGCCGCGCCACATGGAAGTTAGGATATGCTGAAGACTACGACGTCCTCGTACGATCTGGGCCGGCTGATTGCAGTGTCCACTTCGACAAGAGGCTCAGGACCTAACCAAAGCCTGATTCTATCCACTTTACCTTACATATATCTAAACTAACACATTCATCTCTGTGAGTACGAAACCTGGCACATCAAACCTTAATAACTTAAACCTGGACCATAAGCATAAAACAAAAAAGAGGCACCTTAAACCGTAAACCCTCATATGGGAGTTTCCGAAAATAAGGGTACCCTAATACAGTACCCCAAATAGTAGGATCCTTATTATAAGGACCCCCAAATAAGGTACCCCCTATTTTCGGAAACCCTCAAAGGGATTAAAAGGCTCAGACGATCGACGGCCACCTGAATCTGGACCCACGAGTCCCAATGTGCAGCTTTAGGGCTTATAGGGTGTAGGGTTTATTAATAGGGTTTAGGGTTTATAGGGTTTATAGGGTATAAAGTGTAGGGTTTATAGGGTTTATAGAGTTTAGGGTTTAGGGTGTCAGCCACCTCGACTGAACCTGCCCCAAGAGACCTCCAGTAGGAGGTATATTCAAATAGCTTAGAAGTAACATCCTCAGCTGAAACTGCTCGCCCAGGCGCGTACGTGGGATATCCGGTGCTACATGTCATCATCCACCAGGCCGCATAGGGCAGCCCGATGACGGTTCCCAAGGTGAAAATGGCCTCTGTGACTCTGCAACTTACAGGGATACCATCACTCACGATGCTACTGAAGCTACTGCTGGCCTGATGATGTGACAAAGGTGGCACAAGATCACCCATGGCACAAAACAAAACATGAGCAGGACTGCCATCGTCTTGCACGAGGCTAATGACATGAGTCAGAACTGCTTGCTGCCGGCACTACTAGTCTGATTTGCCATGCCGGGCGAAACGGCGACCAGCACTTCTACTCTGCTTCTCATGAAGATACGGCCATACGACATACTCCTGCTCTTGCTACTCCTTCTCCTTGCTGCTGGCCCCTCCACCTCCAGAACAACTGCGAATGCTGCTCTGGGCTGGCTTCACTGCTACACGTCACTAGGAGTGCTCTTATTGTTCTGCTCAAAACTGTGAAACCAAGGCCTGCAACGCAAGGACGACCGCGGCTCGCCTGGACGGGGAAGGCTCTGACAAAGTACAGGGTATTTGCATGCAAATACCGATAATGGGAAAACTGCAAGGCATGCCGAGGCCATAGCTGTCGTCCAGGCCGAATGATGTCACAAGAGCACGATTGAATTGGAGCAGCAAAAGCGACAATCAAGTACAAGCTTAAGCTAGTAGCCGCAGGTGTGCAGGCACTAGTGACTGATAAGTGTGTTTGGCATCGGCCTACCAAGCCGACGTTCTAGGACCCAGGAAAGCAGAAACCACAGTGACATACAGAATCATACACACATGTTTGTGGCCACAGTAACCCAACGCCGCCTTGTCATGAGCGCCCGGAGTGTGGCACGTGCCACACGCAAGCGGAGGTTGTTGGCCTCCGACGTGTGCTTGCTGAGCTTCTCGCGAGTGACAAGAAGTACGGCACATATCGGAACAAAATCACGAAGAGAACTACCAGATGCCCTGTCCGGCGTCCAGGGTCTGAACCCAGCATGTGGGGCTCACAGTTACGTCGCGAGGTAAGTTCGGGCACGAGATTGATGCCAAACTGGTGATAGAAATAAAAATGTTTTTCTTTGAGACTCCGGTCTTTCATGTCGTAGTCTCCACAGGTGTCCCACCCCACCTCCTCGTCAGGAAGGACGCTGCTACCTTTGGTGGGACAGAGTGCTCGTTTGCCAGAAGCAGGAGCATGCTGAGAGGCTCCAGACTCCGCAATTCTCAAGCAACACTTACATGCATATGTCGCGGACATCCTGCAGGGAAGCTCAGAGACTGCAAAGCATGAGAACATCATCCCCTCTCAAGCATCTGAACCTACCGTTGCACGACTTTCTTCAGGAGCCTTTGACAACTGTCAAACAAGGGCTGGTTTAGGTATATTTCGAACTAATGGTCGAACCAGACATAGGGGCCGTAATGCTTACACTAGGGATTTCGGGCATAGTATGCTTAGTATACTATAATCATAATAAGGAACCCCACAATAGTATTTGTAATTATGGAGTATATTATACTATAATCATGACAAGGCAGCCCCCACAACAGTACTGGTAATTACCGAGGTGCGTGTGCAGCAAGCGCAGCAGCAAGCTAGAACTTGATAGGCGCAAGCTTCTAAACTGTCCTAAGCTTTGGCGAGGTGGCTTCAGGGATCGATCAGAGGTTGCGGTTTAGGTCCGTAGACTTTGTAGGGTTTAGGAATGTTTAGGATGATCAAATGATTCAGGCTTCAGGATGGTTTTCGAGTTGAAGCAGATCAACGAATTCTCTTCCCCTTCTTCTGCGGCACTGGCGGTAATCCTGCATAGAGCGGAGAGAGGGGGCTTCAACTTGGGTTTGTCGGATCTGATCGAATACCCTAGCCGGGTTTGACGACTTCTGGACGCGAATGAAACGTCATTTCGCAGCTCCCAGAATTACCAAACATGTAGAGCCTTCAACACACCCTATACCCCACCCCAAACCCCCCAAACCCAAACCCAACCTTAGAACCTGAAGCCTACAGTGCCATGTAAAACCTGCAGACCACAAATGCCAAAAATCTTGCCTAAAATGCTCAAACCCCGCTGAAAACCATATTTCGCAAAGGCCACTGGTTTGCTTCATCTTACCTCGAACCTTGAAACACCCCATATTCACGGACGTCCCTGATCCCTAAACCCTGCTAAGCTCCCGTGCTTACAAAGCCCCCTGCTCCTCCCCAAGGTAAGAGTTAGGATTCAGGGGAAGTTTTTGGGACAAGGGCCAAGAAGCGTCCCCTTCAAGGGGTCTCCCTGATACGACCTATACGGGAGCTTCCGAAAAACCTTACTATAAGGACACCAAAATAAGGTGCGCCTAATTTTGGGAAACTACCGCCTAGGACAAGGCAACGTGACAACAGAAAACAAAGACCGAGCTTCGACGAAGTCCGCTCCGGGGAGGCGGCCCACCTCCGGTTTCAGGGTCTTCGGGGTTTAGAGCTTTAGGGTTTATAGGGCTTAGGGTTTATAGGGCTTAGGTCTTATAGGTTTCAGAGTTGAGGGCTTGGGGTTTCGGGTTGAGGGTTTCGGGCTTTTGCTGGGTTATGCTTGTTTGAAGGCTGTTTAGAGCTTCTTGAGCTGCTTACAGCAAGGCTCCGGGGCTCTACAAGGCTCCAGATCACTGGCGGCTTCTTGTGTTCAGGGCTTGCTTAAGGTACTTTAGCACTTTTGAAAGAAGCTGCATTTGATATCGTCATTGCGCGCGGTGCTGTATAAGGCATCGTGAAGCATTTTGGCGCTTTTACTTGGGCTGTGCTTCAAAGTGTGCCGGCATCATTCCTTGTGGACACTTCAAAACAGACCCGGGCGAGCCCAAAGAAGACGAACAATGGATTGTGTTAAATCATGCTTCCCGGCCTGGGAAAGAGACCTACCTTTGCAGAGAGCCCATGGGTCGCACTTTAAGGCTCCGGGAATAGAGAAGTCAATTCCAGCTGCAGACTGTGAAGACCCCTAAAAATGATTCGATTCCACAGGCCTTGAGCAACGAAGCCGCCCGTAGCCGAAGAGTATAGAATATAGAATCCCTAAAACCCTGTCCAAACCCTCAGCCTTGACACTACATCCCTACACCCTACAGTATACCCCATAAAGTTGGAAACCGGATTAAGGCCAAGTAGTGCTGGTATTCCCTATACATTCCTCTTAAGGAATGAAGCTATTGGGTTTCCAACTCATAAGCTTCTACTGTAATCCCTGCAAACCCGGCATCCCTCGGAGCGAAGTCTTCCCCGAAGTGTTAAAAATGAGAGTAGTGCTATGGTTATTTAATATTATTCTTGAAACCATGGTGAATGATATTAAACAAAAAGATAATTAAATGTTTGATTAATGCATGTAATGTGACCTACCGAGGCCTCCTTCACAACTGCTGGAGGCTGGGAGACCACGGTCAAGTCGGACTTCTCCCAGTTTCCAGAAACCTCGAGGCAAGACACCGCTGGGCACTATAAGGGTTTTTTCCCTCTCGCATTGCATGGAATCGATGCCCGCTCGCGAGGTCTGACTGCAGGGAATAGTAGAAAACGGCAGCACGCGGTTCTGGACATTGTGCTTTACCTAAAATGGGCTTTAGGCTTTAAGGTATGTATATGTATGTGTGTATATATATATATAGGTACACACCATTGAAACACGTGAAGGTGCACTGCGGCGGATCTCATCAAGGAGAATCTTGGATTCGGGGACTCGTCATGTTGCTTCCATGTGAGCCTTCTTCCTCGCCTTCTTCGCCCAAATCCCAAACTATCAACCCCAGGATCCCTGGTAACACCATTACTATCACTATTTACAATTCCTACGTTCATTATTAATGTGGTCCTGACCCCAGCCCTAACAATCACGTTCCCTGCCTTCCAGTCCATGGACTTGAGCTTCTTGGTGAGCTCCTGGCCCATACTAGACTCAAGCATGGTTTAGGGTTTAAGGTTTAGGGTTTAGTGGGTCAAGGGATGTTTTTGCCTCCTAGCTTGCGACGATTCATCAAGATTTAGTGTTGTTGGGGATTTCGGGTTTAGGGTTTCAGCACTCACAACTCTACAGAGCCAGGCGCGAGATATACCAGCTCACAGCGCACTACAGAGAACTCCAGAAAGTTGGAATATGGTTTCATGGTAGGATACCCTATAATTTACCATAGAAGGGTTAGGATAATCATATTCCAACTTTCCGGCTTTTACCTTAAGGCTTCTCGCCAGTACTAGCCGGGCTCGGGCTTTGGTGCTGTAGGGATGAAGGCTCTGAGCAAACAAAGGTTTATCTGCCACACAAGACGAGGAGGCGTTGGCACATGTATGTGTACAACATACATACATTCATACATACATAAGCACATATGTTCTATACAGAGAGATATATATATATGTATAAATGTATATATTTGTTGTGCATTTGTATGTGTTATATATATATATATACATATGTATGTATGCATGCATGCATGCATGTATGTTGGATACGCGACATGTCGGGCCTGTTGGGCATATGTCTCGACGGCGAAGTGGATGTGTGCATGTGCATGAGCATGTGTAGGTATACATTTATGTGTGTGTGCACATACAAACATACATATCTGTAATTAGTATACGTATGTATAAACACTTTGTGTGTGTATTGATTCGTGTACTCATATAATTTTGCTTGTTTGTTGATATGCATGCACTTGACCACTTTCTCAAACAGATGGATGGCCTGCATACATGTGTTGGACATGACCATGCATGGATGAGTAGTGGCCATTTATGCCCGCATACATACCGTGCACGTATATGTACAGGTAGATATGGTACTCGACATATCAAGACTACTTTGCTACATTGATATGAAGCATGCGGGCAGCTGTATGTACATGTGATTGGAAAAGAAGCCACAACGACCTAGGGTTGGTAGTTCTGAAGCCATGCAGCATACTAAGCAACATTCTTGCACCTTGACATACTCGTCTGTGTAGTTGGCGAACCTGGCAGGAAACCACACTCGCAGCAAGCACAACCAAATCGCACGCCTTGCACTTTCACCACCCTGCCACCTGCAGGTCAACGGTGACCATTGCATCCAAGATGCAAAAAGTTTGTATTTGCTGTCCATCGTTTCCTGACGGAGTCCTCTGCCCCAGCAATTGCCTGCAGCGGCAAACAGCCGAAGCACTTGTGGTGACAGGGAGCAACATGTCCGGGCAAGCGATCAATTTTTGCATGGGAGCAGCCGGAGCTGCGCGCCGGAACGAAGCACGCACAAGCACACGTGTCATTGCTGTTGAATTTCCCGAGTATTCCCGAAGCATTTCACCGGCTCCCCAATCCCAGATCTCCAATCCCTCTGCCAGGCTGCCGAAATTTGGCATTCCAACTGCAGTTGAGAGGGGCCCGAACTATCCTGTCCGGGAGCCAAAGTAGATGTTAGGGAATGGATGTGGAAATCGGGAGAGAAAGCTTTTACTTATTGACCATGCTTTAACATGCTGCAGGGTTACTGTACAAGGTTCTTTCAGCAGGCTCGATTATGCGTACTGCAGGGCTTGCGAAGCTATCGTCCTCTAAGCTGCTCGATGTGTAAGAGGCACGTGGTAGCATGCGACCTAACCTGATCTCTCATCCACTCTCAGTGCCCGCCAAGAACGCAACAGGCTAATTAACCCTCAACCCTTAACTGAACACAAAACCCGTAGATAAACCCTACCCCTAAACCTACAGCCCTGAACACCCTTTCATATACCGCCAAAAGGCACCCTTTTTAGTTTTGCGTCCTCCGCGCCGCGGATCTCCCAGGCGCGAAAGCGCGTCACCGGAAGTTCGGAGCTGCTGACCTGGGTCATTATATTGCTATCCATACAATATAAATCTTGTTGTATATAGTTACAATCTGAGGTATTATATTGTTATTCATAATATGAATATTGTTGTTCATCTTATTCTCATTTTTATAAAGGCTATTGCTGTCTGAGAAGTTATTCTAGTCTTCTGGAATTATTGCCTTACCTGTAGTACTGTGACTACTACGAGTACTTTTTCCAGTCCCACAATTTATGATAGTGCTATGCATATTTTTGGTGTTAGTACTATCATAGATATGCATCTCTCTCTTTCGCTCTCTCTCTCTCTCTCTCTCTCGCTCTCTCTCGCTCTGCAATCCTGCTCAGGCTGAACATACACGGATGAGCGGACAGAGAAACAGTACACTACATTGCAATATACATCACATACATGACATACATACACGTATACATACAGATATACAGACGTATATCTATACACACATACGTATTCATTCCTATCCCTCCCTCCAAACCTGAAAGAAAACGAACACCCTACATGAAGACCCGAAGCTTCTCAGAAGCTGACTCCCAACGCTGCGCGGAGATCTTGATGGAGCTCCTTATTTAGGGCTTCCAGGTCTAGGGTATCGATGAGGTTCCTGCGATTGAACCGAAATAATTATTGGCACCCTACATACAAGGATATCCCCCACACCACCCCTTTCGGTCGTAAACAAACTGCCGTTAGGGTTCAGTGTGCTAGGGGCAAAAAGAGTTAAGAGCTCATGCACGACTTGATGATATGGCATTGAGACTCATTATTTTGGATTTGATCTACTACATGGCGCCGATGGTGTGGTGTCATGTTCGAGTTGCAGCTGCGGATTTCAGGGCGCTGGTTCTGAAAATGGTCTTGCTGGCTAAACTCAACTCCCCAACAAGCCAACCCTAGCGAAGCTCTAGGGCAGAGCTCCAGACTCTAAACCCCAAACCCGTCTGAGCCAGGGGCTTGAGCACATACCCTGGAATGTCCAACAGTTCTTCGAGCAAATTGGCACACTATAGTCACTATACCCTACACCCCAAGCCCTAAGCTCACAACCCTAAACTCTAAACTTGAAATCCGCTCGTTCACATCCCTATCTCTGCAGCTTTCAGTGAGGCTTACTGTTCAGGAATTAAAATAAGATTTGCAGTTGGATGATAGAACAGACAATCCCGAAACGAAGTCCGCAGAATTCAGACGCCTGAACAATCAGTTCATCAGAATCGACCTTTTAGGGACTGTGGCGAGTCGCTGTGCTAGCTTATGCCGGTATATGTACACATGCACATGTATGTGTATGTGTACTATATAGATTTACACATGTATGTATGTATGTATATCTATATATATATATATATATATATATATATATATTCTACATGTGTATTAATATACATGTATATTTATATATATATATATATATATATATATATGTATGTATGCTTAAATGTATACTGCCACAATACTTGCGCACATTGCTATCGTGATACAGGCACCTTGAGAGTGAGGAGTGCATGGGGTTCAAGTTTGTTATGCTGTAGTATATCTGTCATAGAGAACCCAAGGAATTATTCATATTACGCCCCCCCCCCCCGGGTGAACAGAATGCTTCTTGCAAAGCTGCCCTATCAGAGAAAGGGTGACAGGGGACGACACCACAAGCTGAAGGACGCATCCCACGACTTCCCACAGCCAAGCATGTCGGGGTAGAGTCTGGGTGATAAGTCTTCAGGGTTTCCGCGGGTGTGGGCCTTCTCCCTGTCTCTGTCTCTTTGACACTGCATCCGGATGGTCCCACTACATGAGGCTGTCGTTAAGGATTGGAGTGGGGGTCGCGATTTTCTCTCCGAGCCATCGCTTGCAAGGATGCTTTCCCAGAGCTGGTGCGGATCACCCAGCGAGCAGGCTTTGAGCTCGAGCTCGGCGCCTGTGGACACAGTGGCCAGGCAGCTGCCTCGCGGCGGCTGACGCTCAGGGGGAAGTCTAAATCATCAAGGAAGGGTTGGCCCCAGCACGGCAGATACTAACAGACAAACCATCATGACACTGTCATAAACAACGGAGTTGGCTCATCCGCATGGTGTCCGGCTTAATTAGGGAGGGCATGGACGGCAGGTAGCAGTTTAGTCTACGGCGACGTAGTGGCAGTAGTCGACATCGCGCTGTCGTAGTATTTTCGCAGTCGTCGTTGTCGTTGCCTTGGTTGTCGCCGTCCTCTTGCTCCGCCTTCTCGTCATGGTCTTCATCGTCGTCGTAGTCGGTAGCGACCCCGGGACGCTCTCATCGGTTGTTGATGGGGGGAGAGCGATGGGCCGTAGATGCTACCACTAGACTAGAACTTCAGTCAGCATTGTTGGCTGTCCCACCTACACTCTGCACACCTCTACCGCACAGAACCGCAAAGCCACAACACATGGCAGAGTACTTGCGCAGGGTTGCTCTACAGTCTTCTAGCCAATGTAGTCACTAGTCCTCTCGGGTCCCCAACTCCGTGTATTCGCGTGAATCGTTTGTGTACGAAAGCTACAAGACATGTAAATACACCATCGAAGCCTGTGTTGCGATTCTGCAGAAGAACGCCATCAAGCTGCTTCCAGTACTGTGTCTCGGAAGCATTCCGGCCTGGCGGTCCACGCAACGTGCAGCACTCAAGGGGTTCGAATCCTAAACCCTAAATCCCTTCATTCACGTCATCTCTGCTAGGCTTGGGCGTCTACCAGAATCAAAGAGACACATTGCCATGACATATTGAACCAATGGTACGACCGACACTGCATGTAGCCAAATATCTAGAGACATGACGTCACAGGAACGTTTGCTCATGTGCCTTGAGATCGCTTGTTTCCGAATCGTCGGGACTCTATGCTCTTTAGGCTTCTTCTCGGAAGCAAAAGACTCGCATGCAGCTACTATGGGGGCCCTAGATAGCTAGACTAGGCTTTTCGAACATGTCACTATGTCACCCCTGCAGCTATAAGAAGGGACCCTGAGAAAGACTATATAGTATCAATTACTCAGGCCCCCATTTCGTTGGGCCGTAACTTGGACAGGATCCCCCCCCCTATTTTTGCTCGAGGCTCATATTTGGAGCTGCGGCTGAAAGGACTCGCTCAGGGTGATGCACTTCCGGCCTCATCAAAGCGAGGAATTCGTGGGCTTCGAGGTTTTCTTTGTCTCGTCGTCAGTTCTGCCATGTACAACCGGCGCAGCCGGCAGCCGGCTGACTACAACGTTTGCCTCTGATGTCCCTGCATACTGTCGAGTCTTGTCGCTCTGTTAGTGGTACCGCCTCTTTAGATGCATTGGGATGCGCTCACGAGGACATTCGAGACAGCCCCCGCTTAAAAGCGCCCTCAGGATCTGACTTGTAGCAGCAAATGCACATTACTATTATTGCAAGTGTTACTATTACTATTGTTACAGGTGCTATAAGTAGCATGAGTTTTTTTGAGTATTACTACGATTCTTAGTATTGATACGGCCACGATTCTTATGATTAGTTAGTATTGTTATACAGTAGTAGCATCTGTTGAAGTCATGCAAGATCAGCCTACAGGGAACTCCAGAAAGTTGGAATTTGGTTTCATGGTAGGATACCCTATAATTTACCATAGAAGGGTTAGGATAATCATATTCCAACTTTCTGGCTTTTACCTTAGTTGCTTGTGGCCTCCCAGGCTCCCATCAACCCTTCGTATATTCTTATTTGTATCAACCCTTACCATTACCGATTACACATACGTCTGGTTAATAGTTTCAGTGCTGGTTTTACTAGTCTTATTTGTTTAAAGTTTAAGAGCATTTAAGAGCGTTGCTATTACTGCTGTTTTCATGACTGACAGTATGCGCTATTACCCCCTTTTGTTAGGAGTAATTGTAGTGGTTTCGGTAGTTGTGTACTGCTACTATCTTATTATGCTTATAAATGCAACTGATGAGTAATAAAAGTATTCGTATTCGTATTGCTGCTGATATTCGTGATGAAATAGATGCCGTTTCTGTGGCTCTTGTTGTTACTGTTAACATGTTTTGTTATGTTCGTTTTGTTAGCTTCTAGAACTGTTCTCAGTTTTATGGCTATTACTAGTATATACCGCTACTATGCTGTATTATGAACCTAGACCCCATAATGATCAGGACAAGGGTCTGCCCAGCGTGTTGCGGACCCTGCCGTCGGAGAACCTCACTGGCCCAAACCCAAGGAAATAAAAGTTGAAACTTTCAGAATCGACTACTTTATAAGAACCCCAAAGGTGAAAAGGTGAGTTTACAGCCAATAAGGAACTCCCAGAGTTGATCCGTGCCCAACTCGCAGACGTCGAGGCCTCGCGGTCGGAGTTTGAGCTTTCTTTGGGAAGAAGGTTACGAACAGTTGGGGTTTAGGATATAGGGTTTTTGGTCAAAGCGGGGTTTGGGAGTTAGTAGTAATAGGGTGGTTGGAAAAGGATTGAGGGTAATATAGGTAATTAGTAGGGTTCAGGGTTTAGGTCTCGCAGCTCGGACTCCGCCAGACGAGGTCTCTCGATCCACAAATACTTTTACCGGACAACCGCTGGGTGTCGGTGCTGATCTCTACACCATCGGTTTAGGGTTAGGGGATCGTAAACTTCAAAAGGTGTATGTATGTATATATACCACGAAAAGTTAAACAGCATCTGTTAAAGTGTTCAGCTGAGGCTCCAAAACACAGGTACAACATTGGCACTTTTAGACCGTTTGGGTCTCTAGGCTCCCTTTTTGCAGCAGGCCTCGTTGTCCAGCAGCCCGGTTACAGCAACAGCCCCCTTTCCCCCCTAAACCCCGTGGAAGTCGAAGCTCACAGAACAGCTTGGTGTCTTATAAGGGCTTGCTGCTTAAAGGTTGGAATAAACCTCTATATGGTTTTGGGACAGCTACATAGTATACTGGTGCCACAAAAAGATGGTAGGAGTACACGGTGTTTGGTGTGGGGAGGAGGTTTAGGATGTAGGATTCTTTTCAAGAGGAGCTTTAATAATAAGACCAGGTTTTGCGGCCCATCATACTTTAATTAGACAAGGAACTCCGAAAATAGTATTAGCCCCTAGAGTAACACGAGACGAGAGGAAAACACGGAAGAAGCCTTGCTCTCTCGTGACACAACTGAGGGGAGTTTTAGAGTTGTGGCTGTAGGGTTTATGATTCAAGGATTTTTGGGCTTGGGTGTTTTAGCCTCCTATCTGCCCAATCTGATTCTGCACCCACGTCGCCCTCCTGTCAAACTGTGGGGTTTGTTGGGGTTGTTGAGTGCTTGTTTTGGCAGATATGTTTGCAAGGTTACTCACTGATTCCATGCCCCAAAATCTCCAAAGACCCCTGCATGCCAACACAGCTAACGAGGCAAGAAAAGATGACATGAGCAGTAAGCTGCGCGCTGACTTCGCTTGGATCATCACCATGAGGATGGGCACCTTGAAAGTCAATGCAGCACGAAGGACAATCGACAATCGAGACCTTGCGGCAGCAGCTTTAAGACCATAACGGATCATCAAGAAGCTATAGAAGCTACTGAAGCTGGAACCCGGCACGCCCCACTGTGCAAGCAAAGTCCTGCGCCTTGAAAAAAGGGCTCTGAAAGGCAGGCTGAAGTGCAAGAGCCATCTTCAAAGCTCTCCGCCGGCGACGGCGGAATTTCGAGGCATCAGAACAGCTTTGTGTGGGTTATAGACGGTATAGGGTTTAAGGCTCACCCTAAAAATGAGCTCGGATGCAGCGCAACCTCGCTTTAGCTCCCGAAGGGAGCTTGAGAAATCTTGTATTATTACTATTATTACTATTATTACTGTTATTATTGTTATTACTATTAGTACTACTATTACTATTACTATAATAACCTCAAAGGCGACCCCAAGGGCCAAGGCGCTGAGGCACTTGTTGGCAGAAAGCCAATCGCTGCCCTGGTTCAGTAGGAAGCCTGGTTTAGGGTTTAGGGTTTAGGGTTTAGGGTTTAGGGTTTAGGGTTTAGGGGCAGAAAAGATCATTCTCACCATCCATCTTGGGACATCCTGACTAGAGTCTACTAGAGTTTTCAACGAGCAAGGATCTATCCATGCGCCGGTAGAGGGACCTTCCCGCAGAACATCTTATCGATTCTGCGATGATGGCGTGCGAGTGCACAGACTTTACGCTGAAGTGGCCTGCGGCAGTAGCACCACCCATGGGAAGGTATCCTTCGGGCCCCTGCATTTAGGCGGCGTGTACTCGGCAGCAGGATCCACGGCATTGTGTTGTTTGCACGTGCAACAAAATCTCAACATGTACAGTAAATTTAAGTATACAAGCAGAGATTTGATGCATGAATTCGGAAGGTGAGTGGACCAGAAATCTCGAGCTGCGGCCGCCTTCGTGAGAGAAGCTCCAGATGCCAGGTGTTTCCAATGCCTGGCGAAGTCAAGGAAAAGATGGGGATGAAACGGTGGGACGCAACCCTTCGCCGCCACCGCCACGACCACCACGCAAACCGCGACAACGACAGGAGGACAATGAGAGCAGAATAACAGCGTGAGGAACGCATACACACGAGCGCGCGCACACACACACACGCACGCGTAAGCACATACAGACACCAAGAGCGACACAAGCTGTTTGATTGCGATGGCACAGAGCAACAACAACGTGCAACAAATGCAGCCTCCCTGGTGCAGAGGATAATGTGGCCTGATTGTCACACGGAGCAAGCTCGATCCCGGCATACCTGTCCTTGGCTGGAACCGAAAGTTCAAGGCGAGCAACGGACTGTTGCATTTCACCTGTCCGCAGACTGGAGCCCTGGAGTTCTGCCTGTACAAGGAAATGTCTTCGATCAGGGCCCATTCCTTGAACCCAGAAACGAAGTGCCTCAGTTTTGTCTACGGTCACGCCGCTCTTCCAAGCAGAAGCTGCACGGTGAGGACCACAGCCCGCACTACCGCTGGTCGCTGGGATGGATGCCCAATCACGAAGGTTGATTGTGAATGATGTCCCAACCAACGAGTCAAACTCAAATAGACCCCCAAAAAAGGCAAAAAGCCCCTAATCCTTTTCCACCAGAGACTTGACTCCTGCCCTCAGTGTGCACGAGAATCGCTGCTTCGCAGCTCCTAGGAGCTTCAGGCACAACTTCATCTTCCACCGTATAAGGTGGACTCAAAGATCGCGAACTTGGAGTCCGCAAAACCCAAACTCTAGACTCAAACCCCTGCAATCTGACCCGCAAGCTTGAACAGGACGCCAAAAACATGCCGCGGCCAGGCTAAGGGCTGCGTTGCTCAGGTTTCAGGTTTTGGGGCTTCATTATATGAGGGCTCTTCATGCCCGGGCTTGAGGGCTTCAGGGTTTCAACCCTCGTGCTCTCGCGCACGCACAAGGAATAGTCTGGAGCTTCCAACCCGATAGGAATTTTAAGGTTCTACAACACCTAGGTGTAGCAGCAATAGTAAGGCATTCAAAAGAACCTGAAGTCCAAACCCCTGGCGAGGGCGTTAGGCTTTGCCGGGCATCTGTTCCAGGAGAGCCGACCACATCTGCCTCAGGGGGTCGTAGAGCTCAATATCCCTCAGTCGAAGAATACCCGTCAGACTGCACAGTACAGGTGTAAAAGACAGGGATGTTCCACAGCATTCACACTACTTTTGTCGAAACGGAAACCCGAAGGGGTGTAGGCTTGTTAATTGAGGGCGTAGCGGGTTATGATCGAAGCTATTCCCCCAAATGACGCGGTATGAATCTACGGTATGAAGCACTCGAGGCGTTCTGCTGAAGTGAAGTCTTGTGCTGCCAAGCATCACACATTCCTGTAGCGACATGTCTCAGGAAGTTGCCTTGCAGAAAATGCCACTTGAAGTCCTGAGAGCGTTTGTTCTCAGAGGGCGTCGACATTCCGACACATGGGAGTTTCCGAAAATGGGGGACCCTAATATAGCAGCCTAGACGGTAGGATCCTTATGATAAGGACTCCAAAATAAGGTACCCCTAATTTTCGGAAACCCCCATATTGTCAAGCTTCCGACGCGGCAATCTGAACGACGGATCGCCAAATAAACCCGATGCAAGAAGTGCAACAGACCTGGGCCAAATACCGCGCGACTGCTTTGGGCAAATGAGCAGGCAGGAAGACGAATCTTGCCTACAGCACGCCTAGGAAAGCTTGAATCTGCAGGCCAGCATAGCACCGGGGCTTGAACCTAAATGGAACACAGCTTTCGAGGTATCTTCTAGTACAAGTATACGTAATCAAATGGAGCTTTCGGGGTCTCTTCTAGCACAAGTATAATCAAGAATCCAAAAACCCTCTTGACTAGTTAATTAGTATTCTGAATCCTTGAGGCCACGATATTGGCCCCAAACCCTCCTTCTCCAGTCGAGGCTCTTCGAAGGCCTCTTCGGGACAAGACTGAACCGCGAGGTTTTGAGCCCCTGTCCTCAGATCTGACGCCGCCAAGGCTATCGAGCAGAAATTCGTGCAGAAGGAGCAGGTGAATTCTGCGACTATATGGGAGTTTCCGAAAATAGGCGACCCTAATATAGTACCTTAAATAATAGGATCCTTATTTCGGAAACTCCCATATACCACAACAAGGGAGCGGGGAGCTGAACAAGAGGACTGAAGCCAAAAGGGCACCCCAGATTCGATCCTGGACCGGCCAGGCCTTGACGGCCGAATGTGTTCGAAGAGATCCAGAGCTAATGTTGCAAGCCAAGAGTCTCAGAAACGCTGACCTTTGGGCAACTCTGATGGGTTCTGCTTCAGCACGGCTCTACTGGACCGCAACCCGATGGCTTGTGAATGGCATGGCATGCAGGCGCTACCAAAGCCCCTGTACGTTGCGTCCTTGCACTTCCACCTACTCCCGGAAATCACCATGCGCTGTACATCGGAAGCTAAGCCTGCAAAACGATGCAGCAAGACGATGTTTATGGCTGGCAAAGGCAGTCAAACAAAAAATGGGAGATTCCTGGTGGTGGATCTCTACTAGCTGCCCTGATCTGCGATTGGTTCATCTTGCAGTTAATCGAAACTGGCATGGCATGAGTAGCTCACCGCTACCGTGAATCACAACATAAAACGACGTCCTAACACCCGAGTTTAGTACAGTATCAAAAACTTGCTCCGAGAACCGAAGATCAAGTCACCAAAGGCCTGGCATCTGAAATTTTCCATACATTTACAAACAAACACATACATAATGATAAGTAAATCTCAATATATGATATAAATATGTATTTATATGTGTATATATATATATATATATATATATCCGTATATACATGTATACATGTATACATAAGACATGACATGTCATCGGCCCCTGCGTTCCAAGCCCAGGTGATGCAGGTTTTCGCACTGAGAGGCGGGCCCCGATGCCTGCAGCTGTAGGGTTCGCTGTTTGCTGCCCACGGATATCTAGCATGACATTCAAGCCTGCATCCGACACTAATGATGACTGTGGTCAGGCGGATGGTGACATCGATGATCCTGAGACGAAGACCACGAACACGGTGAAATTCATCAACGTCGGAAGGACAGGAACGACAACGACGGTGCAGCTGGGGATGGTCTGAGGAAGGTGCGGGTGATAGTGGCGACGATTCGTACTACAACTCTTCTCATTTCGCGATATGTTGGTCTGATTCCCCTTAGCACCCTTTCCCGCGACATCAAACTCATATCCTGAGGTTGTTAGCCACCAGTACTTCGAAGATCACTGATCCGTCTTGATGCTGCTACTATCGGGAGCTGTTACTACCACACTCCTAATTACTGTTGCTGCTGCTACAACTGCTCTTGAAACTGCCACTGGGATGACACCGTGGCCGGTGTACCACTACTTCTACTGCTGATTTACTCCTCCTCCCGCAGCCACTACTGCTACTGCTCCTGCATCTGCCACTACACTACTACTGCTACTACTAATTACTACCACTGCTGTTACTGCTACAACTACTACGGCGACGACGTCTACTACTACTTCTTCTTATGCTACTACCACCCAACACTACTACTGCGACTTCTACGACTACTACTGCTACCAGGTACCAGTAGTAGTACTGCTACTACCACCACCACGACTACTACTACTACTACTACTACTACTACTACTACTGCTACTACTACTACTACTCTTCCTACTACTCCTCGTACTACTACTACTACGACAACGACGACGGCGACGACCACTACTACTACTACTACTACTACTGCTGCTACTACTACTACTACTACTACTACTACTACTACTACTACTACTACTACTACTACTACTAGGACACTGCTCCTATGCCTACACCTACTCGTAGTTCTGCTGCTGATGCTTCTACTGCGGCTACTGCTGCGGCTGATCCTGCTCCTGCTCACACTATTTCTGATGCTAGCTGTTGTTGCTCTTTCCGAGGCTGCTCCTGCGGCTGGTGCTGCTGCTGCCATTGCTACCAACACATTTGGTGTTACTGCGGTGTTGAAAGCCCTCTGGTAGACTCAGCTCGCAGCTAGTCCTAGTCCTCTCCTGTGCATCATGCCGTGTTCTTCAAGGCCTACATTGCGTTGCCTCCGTGACTTCTATATAGTCTGTAGAGATTCTATAGACTATAGACTGCCAAACAGACGGGCTGTCTCTTGCATCCTGTTATTGCGATCAGGCTGTGCTTCCTCCTGCAATTGCCCTCATGTCGCAAACACCCGCTCATTTGCATAATAGTAGGCACTTCTAGTTCTGGTCGCGCGAGTCAACTGGTGTGTCTATTCTCGACCTACAATTGTCAGCATCCAGTGATCTGTGTCTATGGGTCACGAGCGTCCCTGCAACATGCTACAAGCTGCCGGAATCAGCATATACTCAATGCCGAGCAGCAGAGGCTAACATCAGAAAGACTTTGAAGGACACCATGTTGCGAGATCTTGGTTGCGTAGGGCAGGGGTTGTCGACGGCACAGCCATGGTCACGCTAACCATAGACTTAAGACGTGAGCATCTGGACAGCGAGACTTTCCAGCAGCCGCAGCAGTAGTAATTAGTATTGACCGTGGTCACTAACCATGTATGATTCCGAGTCTGCGAGACATGGCGGCATCGTCACCAATATCAGAGAACAAAACGTCGCCGAGGCTGAACTGTGACAGGCCAAGTCCTCAATCTTGAAATCCTGCAAGGCCAGACTTGCAGCGATTCCCCCACCCCATGAATCCTAAACATAAACCGTCACGGGCCCTCAACTCATACCTGAACGCTTTGTTGCATCAAAGCCTGACAAAGTCGGCCGGTAAAGTTACACAGGCAGAAACATAGCGGCCGTAATAATTCGAGGATAGTTTTGGCATATACTATACAGTAAAACTATAGCTATGTAAGGAGCCGCAAGACCGCAAGAGCCCTACCTTTCAACAATCCTGAACCTTCAAGACGAAGTCGATCCCTTAACCCTTACGTGCCGCTTGCCAAGGAGCGCCCCAGCGCTGGAGCTTGGCGTCCTCGACCCCTTCGGCACAGTCGTTCCTGCAGCATTGAAGGAGCTGTGTAGTGTATGGGGTAGGAGTAGTAGTAGTCGTCGTCGTAGTAGTCGCAGCAATCGTAGTAGTCGTAGTAGTAGTAGTAGTAGTAGTAGTAGTAGTGGTGGTGGTGGTGGTGGTGGTGGTGGTGGTGGTGATGGTGGTGGTGGTGGTGGTAGTGGTAGTGGTAGTGGTAGTCGTAGTAGTCGTAGTAGTCGTAGTAGTCGTAGTAGTCGTAGTAGTAGTAGTAGCAGTAGTAGAAGTAGTAGTAGTAGTAGTAGTAGTAGTAGTAGTAGTAGTAGTAGTAGTAGTAGTCGTAGTAGTCGTAGTAGTAGCAGTAGTAGTAGTAGTCGTCGTCGTCGTCGTAGTCGTAGTATTATTCGTTTTCGTAGTCGTAGTAGTAGTAGTAGTAGTAGTAGTAGTAGTAGTAGTAGTAGTAGTAGTAGTAGTAGTAGTAGTAGTAGCCGCGACCCCGCTACTAACTGCCTCTCCTTCGGTGACACTCGTTTTCTCTTCGTCGTCGGCCGCGTGCCACTCTCAGCATCGCTGTCATCGCTGTCGCACTAGCCATTTATGTAACATCAAGCGCACCGAAATACCTCAAATATCTCCAGATAACTCAAACCACACACCCTAACCCTGACAGTAGCCCTCTAAGTACCCCTTGTAGTTATAGTTATGTCATGTTGCAAGCCTCGAGTTACCCTGATACCTTTCTTCGCCAGGTAGCAAGACAAAGGTGGCTCCATCCACCGCTGCCTCTCCAGAAACCTAGTCATCGAGACGTGGCTTAATTAGTTAGTTAGAACAACAGACCGCGTAGGGTACCACTCCCTTCGACATAACAAAACCGCCTCTTCGCGTTCGCGGCCCCGAAACAAAGACCTGTTAGGATCCTATAAAATAATCCCCAGGAATAACTACCATGGAGCCTATGCATCCCCTACAACAATTCAATACCGAAGCCGCGCACTCGCACCGCGATCTTCGACATGCACAGCCCTGGAACGCAACCGACATAACTCACCCTGAGACCACACAAAAAAAGCTCCGAAAACACTAGAACCATGCAAACTCTGCGATTCAGGGCACCTAGTTAGTCTAACTATTCTAACTGTTTCTGTATATTGCATACATACATGACATGCACACATGCATACGCACACGCATGCATGCATGCATGCATGCATGCAGACACACCGCACCATACCATACCACAGCACACCGCGCCAAGCCAGACCAGACCAGACCGCACAACAACATAACACAACACATGTAACACGCTTGATGTGGAGTGTAGGCACGTGCGCCTATACCCATACATCTCAGGGGTCGGGGATACGGATCCTACTACTTGAATCTGCTTAAACGGATCCCCCACTTGTCTCAAGCTCCCCCAGAATACCCTAAACCCCCAAACCCGAAACCCATATGTTGTATCCTAAACCCCAAGCCCTACCTGCACCCCAAAAGTATGTAGAATAATCGCCCTTTATACGTTTCTGGGCCATTAATTTTACCTACGAGTACTTCCGGGGGTTTATGTACTAGTCAACCCAAAGAGCCCAAAACCCCTTAAGTAAGGAATATACCTTAAATCATATTTTGCGCCCCCTTATAATTTAAGGTATATTCCTTAATTAAGGGGTATTGGGCTCTCTGGGAATGTGAGTTGTTCAGAGTACACGCCGAGGGGCGTCCAGGCAGCGACCCGAGAGTTTGTGGAGCAATCGGCCGTCTGCCTGCGTAGCACAGGGGCCTTGATAATTAGAATAGGGTTCCTTTAAAGGGGTCTATAAGGGTTACTATAAGGGATCTGTAAGGATACTATACTATAGGGGCCTTGATAATTAGAATAGGGTTCCTTTAAAGGGGTCTATAAGGGTTACTATAAGGGATCTGTAAGGATACTATACCACAGGGGCCTTGATAATTAGAATAGGGTTCCTTTAAAGGGGTCTATAAGGGTTACTATAAGGGATATGCAAGGATACTATACTATAGGGGCCTTGATAATTAGAATAGGGTTCCTTTAAAGGGGTCTATAAGGGTTACTATAAGGGATCTGTAAGGATACTATATACTATAGGGGCCTTGATAATTAGAATAGGGTTCCTTTAAAGGGGTCTATAAGGGTTACTATAAGGGATCTGTAAGGATACTATACTATAGGGGCCTTGATAATTAGAATAGGGTTTGGGGGTCACTATACTATAAATATAGTATAGGGTATTGGGGCCTTGACAATTAGAATAGGGTTTTGGGGTACACTAGACTAGAAATATACCAAAGAACGCCTACAATAATATAGGTAATTATTCAGACCCCTATGTTAGTAGCCAACAGTTACTCCGAGGGTACCGTTGTGTGAAAGCTTTCGCACAATACATACACACCAGGAACTACGAGCTGAACTCATTAAGGGCCGAGTACGCTGGGCTCCCACCGCTGGTCAGAGAATGCGCACTTCTCCAGCTGCAGCTTGGCATTCAAGCAGTTTCCAACCGACCTCGGCCACCAGTCTATACGAGGAAAGCAGTTAGAACAAAGCTAGGGGAAAGACCGGAAAGGATAGCAGTACCACAGTCCACGCAAATACTGAGAATCTTTTCAGCTCGCGATTCATTGCTGAAGCGAGGCTGCTAGGTCCGATACATGGCTTTGGTTGCCTGGGGCTCTTTTGAGTGCTGCACCTCGAGCTGCAAAGTCCTGGACTGAAACCGGGGCTATACCTGTGGCATCTACTGATTTTCCGGGGTCGAAGCCCTCAAAAATCCCAAAGGCTCAAACATGAGAACCCTGGAGGCCCCAAAGGGTCGAGCCTTTGCTCGAGAAGACCTTCCGGCGTGTGCACCCAGGTCCTGAAAATGTTATAAAAGGGCTGTTTGGGTTGCGGGTCTTCAGGTGTGGAGACGAGGGTTCTGCATGCAGGTCAACTTGGTAAGCAAATGTATGGGATAAACTGATTGCTTATAGACTGATAGATCTGCAAGTGTGTGATAGCATGTATGTATATATGCATGCATGTATGTTGCAGATCTGTTTGTGTAGGTAGGTCAGGTAAGTCGGTAAGGCAAAGCAAGGCGAGGCGAGGTGAGCTGAGGTAGGGCAGGGCACGGCAGTCAAGGCATGTATGCATGTATGCGCGTACGCATGTATGTCCAGGCATGTCTAACCAACCGCGTGCACAAACACACTTTCAAGCGCATCCGCTCAGGCCAACAGTAACATGTATTTAGGTGGGTGGAAGGCTGGATGGGCGTGTCTGCCTTTCCGCTTGCACCAGATCACTTGTGGATACATGACACATGTAAACACATCCCGTCGCAACACACATGTCGGGTAAAGGCCCCAGGGTTGCTTTCGGATTAAAGTTTAGAATTCCATCGAGGTTCGGAGTTTTGGGTTGTCAGGAAACCGAGACTTCAAACAATCACAAGCCCTCTTCCAACAACCTGCGAATCAACATCTCCAAGAAGCAGAGTGAGTGGTAAGCCGGTAATCCACGGATCACGAATCCTGTTGACCACAGTGCTTCCATGTCTCTGATTCGAGTGCGGGGCGCCATTCGCAAGATGGCGGCAAAGATGGAGAGTGACAGGCTTGGACACGTCGTCAACATCCACCTGAGGTCTTCATGACAAGGGCTGCGGTTATCCTCTCTTTAGGGGTAGGTTGCAATGACAGGTCCGAGGTCCCTTGGCGCAAGTTACGAAGAAGACAGCGAGGCGCCAGTTGGCATGTTTACGCTCTTTGCAATCACGAATTTCTTCCGGGTCGAACAAACATCTGCCGCACTTCGCATGTGCAGCTCATGCGCATGATGGCTCCAAGCCCCATGCACATCTTCTCCCGATAAGCTCACGGCTGTCAAACACTTGCTGGTGGCTTCGTTCACGATGCTGCCAGCCTCGTCCGGAGGGATCTTGAGGGCTTCGAGTTGCCGCTCAAAGCTCAACCGGATGTTGAGAAGATGTGACAGTTCGAGCAAAATTGTTGCATCACTGCAAAATAATGTAGCAGATCGTGTAGAACTAAGGAAGCTTCCGACGAACAGCTTCAAGTGCGAGCTTTCTGTTATGTCTGGCCCACAGCACAGGAAGTCGGGTACCGCACACGGCCCATCGGAAGTCCAAGCTAATCTCATTTTGAAGAATTCCAACTACGAGCCGGCCCTGCTTTCAAGCCCCAACAAAAAAATGGCTGGAAAGGCTGGACCCAAGCCCTTCCACCTGAAGAAAGTCTAAATTTCGCCTTAGACCCTCCATGATAGCCGGCTCAACTAAGGCTTCTTGGGTTTATAGGTGTTGTGGGTTTGCAAGGTTTACGGCTAATTCCCTGGTTCCGGATTCCTAAACATGACATCGCTTCAGCCACAAGAGCACTACATTGGAGTTTCCGAGAACAAGGGACCCTATACAATATACCCACAATAGTAGGATCCTTATTACAAGGACCCCCAAATTAGGTAGCCCCCAATTTTCGGAAACTCCTACACGGGATCATAGGTTTGCAAGCCGGACCACCTTGACAGTCACGGATCGAACTTCCCAAGAACTCCAAACCCTGGTTCTCCAAGCCCAGAAAGTAAATCTTAAACCCGAAGTTTAAACCCTAAATTCTGAACCCTAAACCTACAACGCGCTTAAAGGGCTGAGGTGAAAAACCCTTCAGAGGGTAGAACTCCCAAAGGGTCCAAGTATCATTATAGTATATACTTAGATCCCCAAAATACCCTATAAGTATATACCAGAATGATAATTGGACCCTTTGGGACTCTTACCTTTTGAAGGGTTTTCACCTCAGCCCTTTATTTAGGCTACTTATAACTCTAATTATAACCTACTTACTAAGTCCCCTTCCCCTCCAAGTATGTTTGGCCACGGCCTCTCCCAAACGCCAGCGCTGCGCCGCGCGCGGCCCCGGAGGGTGGCAGCGCTCGGCGGCCAGGGCGCTACCGGAGGCCTGCAGAAATTCTTCACAGGGTTCCTCAACGGGTACTTTGGAGGCTTTAGGGCATGAGGGCTCAGTGAGGGATTAAGATTAGAGTTCTATAAAGGTTCCTCAAGGATTCCGAACAAGGGTTGCTTAAAGCTCAAAAAGGTCTGTAAGGGTTTAGAGGGTTGTAATGTTACAGTGCATTGCGGTTTTAAAGCACAACTCAAAAAACCTATATGCCCACAAAACAATAAGGTGTTCCAGGCGCGAAGGCCGCAGGTCCAGTTCCCAAACCTTCTCGTTGCGGCTCAGGGATGAGGCACTCTTGGCGCATATGAAAGCGCTACACAAGGACTATGCGGTGACACTAGATCGGAGTACTCAGGTCCCTATACAGTGCCGATAGAAGCCCCGAATTTCAGTCCGAGCTGGGGGCCCTTGGGCGTTTGGGGGGCGCGACAGGGCGAGGGACCTCGAGTCTTGGTTGTTGAGGTAAGGGTCTAGCTGGCTAGATTCCGAAAAAACCGACAATAAGCCGTATATAAAGCCTACATGAAAAAAGAAATCCTAGAGAAAGCCAGGACAGTTTAAGGTTTAGAAGCCTCCTTTCCAAGGACCTTGAAGCCCAAAACTCCCTCCCCTTAGAGGGTTAGGGTTTATAAGGCCCGAGGACTTCAAGCTTTAGGACCCAAGGTTTTGGGCTTGCGGGCCTACCTCAACCCTGAAAAACCTACCTTTTGGGGGTTCCCCAATATGATTTCCTTATATGTCTAAAAAGGTAGGATACTCCTACACCCCCCAACAACCCTTTAATATAAGCCAGATACCTACCACTAAGGGTCACTCCTCCATTAAAGGGCCATTGGGGGGTCCTGGTTAAGGGTAAAGGTACTACCTATAGTCTCCAGTGTAGTTCCTTTTTGTGGTTACCTTTTAGGATCCTTAATATAAAATTGGTTAAGCCAAAAAAAAGAACTACAATGGAGACTATAGGTAGGGCTTTATCCCCGGACCGTCTCCATGGGGCCCTCCACGCCCAGGCAACGGTTGTTTACATTCCGCAGCACCACGCCGGGAACCTGGCGAGGGAGCGACTGAGATTCTGGGGTGTTCTGGGCCTTAGGAAGGTTTAAGTTCAGGGGTGTAGGGGTAATTATCACATACTTGTAGGGTTAGGATGGGTTTAGGGAGAGTTTAGGGTAAGGGGAAAACACGATTCAGGAAATCATGTTTCATCCGCCTGGGCTCAATGTCACGGCTTGTTGAAGTTGGGCTCTGGTGGCCTACCATGCCCGAGGACATACCCAGAGGCCCCAAAGTAGTTCCTTTTTGGGAGTACCTTATAATATTCTATATATGAACCCAAATAAGGAACTGCTTTGGGGCCTATGGGTAATGTAGGGGCCTTCATCATTAGAACAGGCTTTTGGGGGCCGCTTATTATAAGTACAGCATAATATAACCCTACATTCGGCGTACCGGCAGTTGAGCTTTAGGCGCCTGTTGGTCCTCTGAGGCTTCATGCTGGTCTGAGGGGGGGCTCAGCGGTGCATCTGTCGTGCTAGCGTCGAATCCAGAATGAGACAGGCGGCACTACTCGAACCTAACAGGATGCTTGAAACCCTTTCTGTACCGACCATTCAGCCTTACCTCCCTGCGAAGTATGTACCCTGCATGAGCTCGAAACCAAAGTAGGGGTCTTAGTACTTGGGCTAGGATTTGGGGTCATATTTAACTATAGAAATAAATCGAGCACTTAGGGAGCCCGAATTCTGCTCTATATTCTATACCATCCCGGAACGGCCTGTTCCGTCAGGAACGGTCTCAAGAGCTCTGGGCCCGTCAGGTGGAAGGCAACCAGCTTGTGATCGGACAGCGCGTCCTTTCGAGAAACCCTTTGAGGGCTCCTTTGAAGGGATCTCGAGGAAACGCTTAAGGGTTTGGACTCTCGCAACTGCATGCTCCGGATTCAGGGCTTAGAGACAAAAGCCTCTGTAGCATTGGGTTTCGACTCTCGCAGCTTGGGCAATGTTGCAAGCATAGCGTACCACTTTGGGCAGGGAGTTGCAGGCATCTTGCCAAGGGTTGAAGGTTTAGGGGTTGTCGTAACATGTTTCGTATTCCAGAGCATCGACTTCGTTAAACATGTTCACCACCAGCACCTCCACCACTGCCACCATTGGAGTTATGCTTGCTGCAGTTGATAATCATGACGATGATGACGACGATGGCGGCTGTCTGAATGGAAGAAGCATTCGCAGTCGAATCTAGACCTAAGTATGTTCCTTATCTTGCTGTTGTCGGTAGTTTTGTCTCAGCTAATACCAGCTTCAGTCTTAGACAGGTCTTATGCAATCGTATTCACCATCGATCGCATTCCGATGGGTTTACAAGCCCATCTGCAAACACCTGTGTACATGCGTGAACCACCTCTACGCATACAGATGCAAGACTTGCTTCGCTGTATGCCGGCAACATGTCCGTGTGTGCGCGTGCGTCTCTCCGAATGTGCACATACACCCGATCATGCATGGCATCACACTGAATCTTACTTTCTTGTCTGAGACATTGCCATGCGTCAGCACCTGCGACAGCCTGAGGTAAATCCCGTCCTACAAGACCTGATTGGCACAGCACCTGAAGAAACTGTAAGCTCCCCGCCGTCTGCCAAAGCTTTGGGATCCGCCGGTTTGCGCATGCTGTGAACAACTCCGCCTGCTTCACTGACACTTTCTGGGCTCCGTTTTTCAATCAACATCAAGACTCAGAAGAAGAAGAAGAAGAAGGAGAAGGACTCCAGTGTAAATAAAGCACATGTAGAGATCCGGCGCAGCTACACCCAATATCCATGTGCACGAGTGCCTCTGCCAGTCGCTTTTAGCACACGGGGCACGATGCCGCATGCACAGACACACACGCACATATATAACAGAATAGAGCAGACTAGAATACAACATAAGTAATTAGATATAAACCAGTGTTCAGTCAGAGTTTTGATAACCGATCCCAATAACTAGCAGTCAACCACCAGACACTTTACAACCCTGTGACGATGATGACGCCTCTGTTCCCGTCATGGGCGGTCAGAACTCCGCACTCTGAACCCGTGAACTCGGAGAATAATGTTTCCTAAATAACACCAAAACCAAAAACTGTGTGCACCCCTCCCAGTTAAAAGCCTGACGGCTTCCTCCCATGTCCTCAAGCAAGGATCCTAAAAGCCCGAACACCAAATCGAAATCCGCCCCAGACCCTGAACCCAACCACCGCTTTTCCACTTTTCCGTTCCAGAAGCCTTTAGGGGTTTATAATTTATAAGTCTCTAAGGTCCTTTAAGGGGCTCCTTTCACGAGTTCCTTGACGGAGTTCCTTGAAAGGGCTCCTCTGACGGAGTTCCTTGAAAGGGCTCCTTTGAAGGGGCTCCTTTACTGCATTAGGCTCGGCCTGTGCACCTCCCATGGAGTGGCCGGTAGCTGCGACCTGGGTGGCCGTAAAATGGGCAAAGGGACCGAGGCATTTGGGTAGTTGTCAAAATTAGGGTCCCTTTTTGGGGTACCCTAAATATTGGGTGCCGTACTATATTAGGGGGCCCCAAAAGGAACCCTAATAGTGACAACCACCCATCTGGGTTTCGGGGATTAGATTCTAGGATCAAGGAACACATCTGTGTCCATCCATGCTTCTACGGAACCTCCCGAGGCTTTAGTGCTTCTTTAAGTCTTTCCCTCTTCTGGCACCATGCTTTTCAGGTTCAACCTGAGAGGTATGTAGGGTTCAGGGCTTATGGTTTCGGGCTTACGGCTTACAGCTTTGAGCTTGAGCATGAAAGACGTTCCCTACCTACATATGATGCTTCGGTTGGCGGCAGTCTTGCGAAACAATATCATACAAAAGAAAACGACATACACACGACACACTCTAATGGCACTGGGAACACATGGTTGCAACGTCACATATTGAACGGTCATGGCAAGAAGATTCGGGCCACTGTAAGTGCAGGGTCACTCTAGTGCCGACAACAGGCGTTTCAAGGGAGTGCAAGCCAGTTCAGTTGCTTCAAAGACCATATTCTAACTTCTGAAATCCTCAAACCCTCGCAGGGCTGCACAACAGGTCCCGGTACTCCAAGCTGGGAGGCCGACTCGAGAACAAAAGGGTAGCTTCGCGCGAATCGCCTGGGGCCAAACGTTCCGGAGTTTTCTTAGCGTCAGAAGGGCATTGAGTTCAGGACTTGTTCAATAGGGGTTCTAGCTCATGGCTGGGATAGGATTAAGACTGTACATTTCTATTCCTTATTGGGCTCAAGTACCCATAAACATGTAAAATGTTACCCAACTATTAAGGTCTTAGGGCTTTTCGAATCGCTTCATAGGACTTGGGAGCGAAGATGTTTCGAAGACTTGCACATCTGCCAAGTTCTGTTTCTCTTGCCTACTTGTCGGGTATCATGGGGAACTAAAGGTTGCTAAGGTTACCATTTTGGTTATGTAGGGATTATATAGGGACTATACTACCCAAAAAAGGTTAAAGGTTACCAACTCTACTACTAGACTAGGCTTGAGAATGTCCTTACCTCAAGCCCCCGAAAGTATCTAGGTAAAATAATGGCCCAATACCTGTAAACGGCCGTTATTCTACATACATCTACATACTTCAGGGGTCCAGGTAAGCTGTGAGGAACTGGTAAAGGGATTGGTAGCAGCAGCCATATGTTGCTCGACGCATACCACGGCACTCGAACTGATTTCACGCTAGTAACCGCAGCTAGCCACTAGGAATAGAACCCACGAAATGGGCGGGGAAGTGGGCTGGACATGCGACGTACGATGCCTATACGCCCTCAGCCGTCAACTGCGCAAACCCGTCCTGGTCGTAGTCATCGCCTTACTTGTGAGGCGCTGATCACGAATCGACACCGAGTTTCCGTTGTGGCCGTCTCGGTAGGAACTGTTACAGAGCAGCTGGCCTAAGAACCCATGAGTCAGCACAGAATCGAGTATATCCTCTACAAAACGAAGACCATGCATGAGTGTGTCCTTCAACATGCAGGCGAGTGGCTTCGAAGCATAGCCATCAGCTTATCCCGAAACCCACTGTGAACGTCCTCGAAGCCACAGAACTGGGAAGTCTTGATATCAGCATCGTAGACCCTGAGCTCAGGGCAAAGCTAGATGCCTGCGGCTGACATGATCGCAACACCTGCACTTCACATGTGTTGGCAAGTGAATAGAAGCAAATGGGGGCAGAGTGTGTTGGCATATCAATCTAAGCAGCCAGTCGCTGAGATCCTGTCGATCACCTTTGAAGGCAAGCATGGGCCGCCGCTTCTGACACCTCCTATAGTCGCTTGGGCCCTAGAACACCCTGCAAGGCACGTCAATGCTACCTTTGGTTCGACTTTTCGGATCCAGAAAATCCCTCGGAACTTTGCGGCCAAGGTGCTGCCCTCGAAGACGAGAGCGCATTCCAGGCTTTTCCTGGGTTGTGGTTAACGAACTTCAAGAAACTCGATGAAGATACCAAATTCTATAGCATTCATTCTACGCTCCATTTCTAACCCAGCTTACTCTGGATCAGCTCCGAAACAAGAACCCAGCTTCGGGTGCTGGTAAAGCGCGGCATGGTCGTGAAACTGGACAAGGCCGCCCTGATCCGCAGAGAAGGAGAAAGGGCAAACACAGCATGCAAGCTTCAGAAAATACTGTAGGGCTCCGAAGTTCGAGCCTCAAGCAGCAAAATCCTCATCAAAAACCACACCCAAAATGGATCCCGAATTTTCAGGACACCCCCTCCCTCCCCACCCACCCAACTTGCCAACCGAGCAGAAAAAGACTGCTCTCAAGATCCCCCGGGCCTTGTCCGCGTAAGGCAGCGACTCGGCGTAGCCCACCAGGTTCCATCCCCAGAGTCGCGCATCCATATGCATCGTTTGCATCTCGGGCGCATAGATGACGAAGGTGAAATGGACCATGAGGTATGCCTGTCATTACACATACAGCTGTGTCAGCAGGGATCTACCGCAAAGATGAGCCCTGACTGTGAGGTCTAACATGCAAACAACCGCACGAAGACCTCATGGCATGGTTTCATGTTTCAAAGGCAGGTCCCGTCCGTCCCTTGGAGTTCGAAGCTAGTGCTGCCACGGCCTTCTGCAGCAGTGACAAGCTGCCGGTGCCATCGTATGAGGCCTCAGAAGGGTGCGGACTGGTTCGCTGCCGATAACTGTGTCAGGCAGTCCACTACACCCACGAGTTAGAGTCCACAAACAGCCGGGTGTACTTCAGGCTCCACAAAGAAACAGGCTTCGGGAAACCTCTTCTGCCTCTAGATTATTATGAAAGCTATTCCCGAAACCCTTCTACCTGGACCCCTAAAGTATGCAGAATAATGGCCTGTTACAGACAGATATTGGGCCATTATTTTACCTACTTTGGGGGATTTAGGTAATTGTTACAACAATATTAAAGGGAACTCCTGGCTTGGAAGGCTACAGGGCTCTGTGGGGTCTTGCTGTCAAGGATCTTCTTCCTGATCATTCAAGCCCTTCTTCCTAATCTTTCAAGTCCCTATGTGGGAGTTTCAGAAAAAGGGGACCCTACTATAGCACCCTAAGTAGTAGGATCATTCTGTTTAGAATCCCAAACTAAAGTTCCTCATTTTTCGGCAGCTCCTATGTTGGGAAACCCCAAGCCTACCACGGCAAGCGTCCGGCAGCGGCTTTTTCCCAGTCGTGGCCTGTCAGGTCATAATATATATATATATATATATATATATATATATATATATATATTCCTCTACTTTTCATGAGGAACCGTCGCAATAGTATAGGTAATTCTTGAAGCCCCTATAGTGCTGAACGTGGGGGTCCGAGAACTCAGCAAGAGGAGACCTTGCAATTCCTCAATGGAGCCCTCGGATTCTAATGGCACCTGTCTGGGGTCTTATACGGATTGCACGTTCGGGCTCAGGGTCTGTGAGTGTATATAGTGCATCAGGGTTGCGAGAGATCTTGAACTGCAGGGCTCAAGGATATCCGCTTTGCCAATTAAGGGGCTTTGGGACCATGTCAACAGCTTCGTGAGGTTCACGCACGAACAGGGAAGTGCACATGAATGGGTCGACTGGTCCATGGACAGGCGCGAGGACAAGCAGTAGATCCAACATTCGCTTTCAAACAGTTACTCTAAGGCCGTAATAACGTACTGTAGAATAGGGTTTTCGGACCGATTATACTATGAAAATAATACGGAACCCCCAAAATAGTTTTGCTAATTATTTGGGCCCCTTAAAGTAGCCGACACAGTCGGCTGACGGAAGCCGGTTCAGCTCCACAGCAAGTGACAAGGCTAAAGTGGAGCCTGCGCCATAAGATGATGCTTCAGGATGGCCTCGTAGGAGCTATGCCTCACGTGCAGTGCTCATGTGGTGGCTCAGAGGTACTATTTCAGATCGCGCAAGCCTTGCATCTAAGCACCTATTTGTTAAACACATTTTTAAACACAAAAAAGTTCAAAAAAGAAAATATATATAGATATATAGATAGATATACATATATATATATACACACACATACCTTTGCAACTACAAATCCTGTGCTTCCGATGTCCATCTGCCAGGCCGAGCCACCCAGCCACCCACCAGAAGTCATCGTGGTGTGGGTCAGAGGCAGATGCCTTGTCTCTTCACTTTGGGCGCGATGGTCACAACGTATCAGCCGTTATTGCGAAGACGTGCAAAGTTGCGCAAGGACGAAAAGCTGAATTCAATTTCGTGTCACATGAGGGTGCCAGAGCGACACACGAGAAATGCGACCCATGACCCATGCGACACGCAACGAATTTCTGCAAGCTGCACATGGAACGGTCCTGCTTTCACGCTCATACCTAATTACCTCGAAAGAATGTGTCGTCCCCATCGCTGTTTCGCGCATCAGATCATCGAAATCGCAGTTCGTCCAACATTGCTTTTTGACGGAACTGTTAGACTGTTTGCTTTTCGGAAATACATGTGTCCATGTTTGCCCTGTCGTTTTGGGTAACTATGTAATTTGTTGTTTGCGGTTCCTGGGACTGCTTGGCCCTTCCTCCGCAATTCGACGTTCTTGTGCATCAGTCGTCGGACGCAAGCAAATCCTTTGTCAGTTTTGAATCCTACTGGTCTTATTGATCTGATCAATTGGCCGGCAGCCGAATGCAGTAGCGAAGATGCTTGATGCCTTTCAATGGGAAATCGCGATGAAATCTTCGGCCCCCGAACCCCGGAAGAACACTCCTTGGTATGTTGTTAACTTTCGGCAGGTTCGGGCAAACAGCTGTCAAAGCTACATGTTGGAGTTCCATGGATGTGTACTGTGGCAGCCTAAATCCTTTCAAGCCTCCAAACATCTTTAAAAGTCTGACCTCATGTTCAACGTTTCTGGAAACCGCTAGACTTGACAGTCTCTGGAGATCTGTGCTTGGCGCTTTTGTCTTGTGTGATCCTTGTTAGTCGCTTACATGTCGGTGTAAGTCTGCGATAGTCCTCAAGGGTCGTCTTTGTCTACGAGCTTTTGCAACTATCGGGTGAATACAGTGGACAGACTTCACCCGAACCCAACCGAAACCCTAAAAAACGCTTCAAACCCTAAACCTGAAACCTGGTAACCATCGAGTCTTGCCTGGCTGCACGACAAGGGCCCATGTCACTCTCAAGCAGATTCTGCTCGGAAAGCTCTAAGAAGGCCATCCTCGGGTGCAACGATGTCGTGGCTCTGCGGTATACGACCAGATGCGGCTGGCATGCAGCACCCTAAACCCCATCTCTGCACTACAGTACGTCATCTCCATACTGGAGGTCTGCGACAGGTTGATGGTGACTTCAGCTCCGGATCGAAACGCTTGGGTGGCCGTACGGTTGCTCAAATCTCTGTAGCGGTTTGGGTTTAGGGTTGTGGGGCAGGGGTTTAGGCTTTAGGGTTCAGGGTTGTTTTGCCGTGGCTCTGCGCATGGCGGAAGCCGAACTGCTCAGTGATCCAGGAAACCGGGTCGTATACTGGAGTGTTCACCTTCCACCCAGGCCGCTCGCTCCTGGCAGGACACCGCTACACAAAGGAGTCATGTCAAGATCACAGAATCCCAACGGTAGGCGTATGGTCGCCGTGCAAACGAGGCAATCTGACCCAAGCACGACCCTCAAGTCAGGGGAGGGGAGGGGGAGGGATCCAATGCTGAGACTCTGGAGGATCCTCTCATGTTCGGAGAACCTATGGACATGTGCTGAAACCACTCTTTCCCAAGAGGCCCAAGAAACCATCCCTCCCCCAACGTCTGGGCTATGTCCTGGTGTACACACGCAAGCCGGCGATGCAGCCTCCCTCCCTGGACATGTCCAGCAATATGCTCTTCCTGGGCTTCTGCAAGCACTCGTGCAGGGGTCAGGAAACCTTCAGGGCGCATGGAACTGAACAATCATGGCAATGATGGCTTTTGCAAAAGTACGGGGAAAAAGTACGGGAAAGATACTCCAGAAGACTCCCGGAATCCAGCCCTCCCTGCTCCACAAGGAGTGCAACCGGCACCCTCTCCACTTCCAACAGCGCGGGATGCAGCGAATAGTTTTACAGTGCTTTCCGCAGCTCTATGGGACACATAGGAATATGAGCTGGCCAAACTATGCCAGAGGTAGAATGTCATGTTTAATGTGGAGATACTTTTTCGGGGCTGCCGAGTCCCTAGACATGCAGAGGCCCAAGCCCAAAGCGAATACATCTTCTCCAGACTCGGCCGTGCTTGCAAGTTGCGACGCACCGGGTGAGCCGAAAGTGTACAGTTCCTGCAATTGCTGGGAGGCATCGGGTTGGATTTGAGGGTGCGGGTGCTACACAAATCACAAATCATCGAGCTCAGTCTCATTGATATTGACCAGTAAATTGCAGACATGAAATGGCAGTACGAAGACTACATGTCCATAGCCGCAAGCGCAAGATGCCGCAAGCGTAGTCTATACATTGGAGATGACTTTGCGCAGAGAAGTATAAGAGCCTATTGGCCTAGCTAGATGCAACAATATCATGATGGGAGCATCAAACCCTGGCTGATGCGCTGTCTTTTGTGCTCTGTTGCTAGACGTCTGACATCGCCTCAGGCCCTCTTCGGTTCTTGCCTTCATGATTCTCCACTACTCACTATTCCATAAACCCCACCTTAACCCTGAAGAACCTACCTTTTTAAGGACCTATATAAGGAAATCATAGTAGGGAACCCTAAAAAGGTAGGTCCTTCAGGGTTAAGGCAAACCCTATATTCGCTTCTGCAACTGGCCTGCTGAGACTCTGACACCCGTTAACCGCTGAAGCCTTTTCGCTTCAAGGACCTCCACCATCCGCTCCGGTGGTCTCCAAGCAGCCATGCCCATCTCTGTCCTGGATTGAAACGGCCCCATAGTCTGGTTTTAAGCTCTACGGAGCTTAGGGATGTGTTGGGTTTAAGGATGTTGATTTTTGAAGGATTGGGTGCCCGAAACCCTCACATTGAGTAACTGTTGGTAGCACAATAACCATGATGCGAACAACCTCAACAATGACATGTGCTGTATACTTTTTCGTTCATAAGGCTCAGGATTGAGATGCCGCCGCTGCATGCTTAACGTCTAAAGGTTTTACGGTTTGGTCCATCACAACTGGGACTTGATGAGGGTTTAGGCCTGGGAGACCTGCTTTCATTCCCAGTCGAAACGAAAGCCGAAACGCCAAAAACTCCCTAGGTGTTGATTTCAACAGATCGCAAAATGCTGTCATCAGGGCTCTATATATTAGACAATGAGGGAAATTGAAAAAATATCTCAAATCGATACCTAGCTCGGAAGTTCTCTTGCAGGTCTTCGCCCGTCGAAGCAGCTTTCGGCGGCGGCTTTCTGGGGCGATGTTACGAATTTGATTATTCTTCATACTACTCTTGTTATGATTACGATTAGCATTATTTGCGTTGTTAATATCATGCCTGTTATGTCTTTCAGTAGTGATCCGCTCAGACTCTGCCCGCGGCTTTGCAGGACAACTGCCCCAAGGCCCACGCAAGCGCTGACCTCGGACTCGTGATACGAAAGCCAGTTCGCTAGAAAAGCTGCAATCGTGCGGGGATTGCACGGGCACATCTTCAATGTCTCTTGAGTTCCGACTCAAGACAGAGCCGGTACAGCCACTACTTGTCTGCACAGCTTTCGACCTTGTGCAAGGCTCAGCTCCGGGCTTCAGAAGCACCCTGAAGATCCATTGGCATTATCTATCTTTGCTCGCGACTCTTCAAGGCAAACTGCCTGAGCTGAAATATCGACATATGGAACACAAAGCAAGCTTTGCTGGGGTCATCTTCCAGGCCCTGAGCTTGAGGCACACAAGAGCTTCCAAAGTAGCTTTACACGTATCATCCCTGCAGAATCTCTGTACTTATGGAGCGACTATACGCTCGCGCTCTCCAGCCCAAATCGTGCGAATGTTTGGGCTGAGGATCTCCAATGCAAGCAATGCAAAATGAAGCGCGCTTCGTCGGCCCAACACGCCCTTTCAGTGCTCGTGGCAGCAGCAGCTCATCCTGCATGAAGTCCGTTCTGTGGTAAAGGTTGACTTAGAAAGAACATATGGGTCGATGGAATGCTGGGATGCAGGAAGCTGTGAACAACAAGTCTTTGAAATTGCTACGAAACAGCATGTGCGCAAAACGATTGCGGAATGCATGCATTGATCAAGGCTCCGAAATCGTCATCCTGCCATATGCCTCTCAAACAATCACCCGTTGCTCCGAATCCCCGGGTGCCGAAGCAAGGTCAGCTCGGTCTATGTCTAAACTTCAGGCCTTGGGGTTTCGGCGCTCACACTCGGACCTTGGGTTTAATTAAGGTCCAGAGTTTAGCAACACAAGAAAACGCAAGAAGTTGGACGGGACCTGACAGTCCAGATGTTCAACGTCTGGAGTTCTTTGCTTCGGACGGAATGGATCGCTCAGCAAGATTCCAAGTCAATATAGGGTGGGCCTTAAAAATTTCAATAGGGTTTTGGGGCCCATTATGGTTTAATTATAAGAAGGAACCCCCCAAAAGAGTATATGTAATTATTAAGGCCCCTATATTGGGCATGTTTGAATTAGCCAATTCAAGGCTAGAGCAGGGCTCTCAATTCAAGATGCACCCCTCCCCTGCGAGGATTCAAGCCTCGACAGAATACCGCACGTCGGCGTGCCATGAAACAGCTTGTGTTTGTAAGCATATGTACACTGTCAATGTTACGCTCTTGCAAACTCGAGCCCGCGAATCCACGGAATTCATCGCGAGTCCTCGCTTTCGTCCTCATCGCCTTAGATGGGCACACGCTTAAGCTAGACTGGTGCTTCGGGCTGCAGTGCGACAAGCAATGGGCACAGTGATATGTATTGCTTAGTATAGTCGTAAAACGAGCGGGCCCTTAAGTGTAGAACAAAAAACCAGCGAAGGCGAACCGTTTTTTGCCTCGACGGCTATTCTCTGACGGAGGAGTGAGTCATGAAGCAACTCTTGGAAAGGAAAGAATCAGCTTGCGAGACCTGCTAGAAGTCTCATGCTTGCATACACAGGCAGGGCTTATGCGACCGTTGCTGACCTGGTTTTGAAGTTTCGCTGCGTCTGCAAGATGTGCGAACAAGTAGGAGATCGGACACAGTATCACACAGTGGGCCAAGACATGGTGATAGCTCGAGGTTTGCGGCTCTGAAACTACTCTGGACTTCAACGCCAGGGGCTTCGGAAACCTGAGAAACCTGAAATCGTCAAAACTGCCCCGGTTTTGGAAAGGCATCCTATTTCCTCGTCCAGGTGTTGCGTGCACTGCGATGTGTGCAATAGTCAACCCTCCCATCCCCAGTCTTTCTGCTCATAATTATCAGGTTGTTCCAGTGCTGCTTCCTCAGCAATCCGAATCCGGGAATCAAGTGAACCTGGTAGAGGGAAGAGGGACAAAAGAAACAACACGTGCCAAGCCCTTCTTGCCCCCTGAAACACTACGTACGTCCTGTAACGCAATGTAGACCCTATAAGCCCAAAACTCTATGCACGAAGCTTGGGCTCTACTGAGCTACTACTTTTCCCACATACTCAATAGTGAACCCTCTCAGCCACACAAAACCATTCACCCTCATCCGAAACGTCCTCGGAAACAGGACGTGCGGCTGCCAGGGCTGCCCGGCGATTGCTCACCGAAGCGCATGCTCAAAGCATTCGGCCATGGCAGGGACAACGCTCTCGGAGCTGGTGTGTATGCTGGCACCTGTGCACGTACGCAAGTGCAAGTGCAGGTGTGTGGGTGTGTGTGCATGCTCGCGCGCACGCGGGCACGAATGTATGTTTGTTTCTTCGTCTGTATGTAGATAGGAGGCAGGCACGGGGGGGGAGGGAGGATGAGGGAGGTGGGCAGGTAGACATGCTTTCGGCCTTGCACGGTGCGTTGCTGAAGTTTGTGCTGGCTCCGTTGGAGGCCCGCTATACACGATTCGAAGATAATGCAAACCGGGCTCTCTCGATCAGTGCCAGGTTTCCGGCTCCTGTGCAAATGGAAGGAAACTTTTTGGTCACGCAGAGTGCATCACTCGAGCTTTGCAGCCAATCATGCGCGCATGAATGCACACAATTATCTACCTGACATATCTATTCATCTGAATATACATATATATATATATATCCGTTGTTGAATGAACGAATCAATAAAGGTGTATATAGTTTTGTTGTATTTCAGTTCTTTAGTTGTGTACATCTATACACATGTGCGTATATGATAAAGGTGCAATTTGTCAATCGTTCTGCACTACTGGCAGGACCTTTGATCGCCGTTCTGGAAGTCAGCGACACCACATTGGAAGACCCCCCTCCCAAAGTTCCACTACCAGGGCCTGGCGCTTTCCTGAAGTGACTGGCGTGATGCTGTGGTACTTGTGGGAAACGAAGCAGATAACGTCACCCTTGGACAACTCATGAGTCTGGAGGTGGCCATCCGGCTCCTTTGTCTGAAACTTGCCGCCTGTGAACTCCTCCTTGTCATTAACCAAGCCGACGATGGTGACGATGCTCCCTGCATCGAAATGGTAGTCATCGACGAGGCCACCTCCAGATTCGTATTCCCAGAGCTCCACCACACGAATCGAGCAGCGCCGGACGTCGATGCCTGACAGTGCAGAGTTCTTATCCTCGCTGCCTGCTGGGTCCGGTTCTGCGCTGCCCCACTGACCCTGCTGCTGCGCGGAGACGGCCGCTCGCAGCATCTTTCGAAGAACCTGTGGTGCTCTGCTCAGCAGCTGGCCCTGCTCTGGCACCGACTGGCCATGTAGGAACAAACAGCGCTTCCTCTTGTGCTGGCGGTTCTGTGGGTTGGTCACTGCAGGGTCGCCAGAGTCGAGGACGGCACGATGGCAGTTCAAAACCTGCTGAAGGTCTGCTTCCGAAAGAAGCGAGGGGAACTTAACCACTCGTGTTTGCTGGGCCTTGAGGAGGTCCACGTAGTTTTGCACCACCGCCTCTTTCGTGCCCCCTTTGGAGACTTTTTGAGGCGTGGCGACATCGCAGGCACTTGCCGGTGCTTTCGGGTCTTTGGCTTCCTCAAGCCTTTGCCTCTTGGCGCTGGGCTCTGCCATGGCCCTCTGGTTTAGAGTTCAGGGTTTAGGGGTTTAGGGGTTTAGGGTTGGACCCGGAGGACAGACTTAGGGATGCGCGGCTAGAGAAAGGGGACTTGAGTTCGTCGGGATCATGCGTTTTCGGATAGTTACTAGAACGGCAAGGCCGGAAACCAGGAATGAACCAGCTTCATCGAGTCTGACTCCCGATGTGGGCTCGTGCTCAGAATCTCTCCCGAGCGAAAGGCTTCTTGTGGTCTCACTCTGGAGGTGAACTGGGCCTTAAAGGATCCATGAGACGACAGCGTAGAACAGTAGAAGGTGTAGGTTTAGGTCCTGAGGTTCTAGGTGCCTCACTGCTTTTGGTTCTGTCTTTGTCATTTGAGCCGGGTCGAAGACACGCACTGAGCGGCTAACCTGTCCAGACGCTGCACAATGCGGAGCATGCGCGATGTATTCCAGCATAGTAGTCGGGCATCGTAAAGTAAAGCATCTTATGGCATAGCAGGGCAGAGTGGAGCGCATGATTGCTGTATTCCAAGGTTCGGAAACTGCTGGCAGTGTCGTAATCTCCGCGGAACGATCGCGGGTCGACACGTTCAGGGCGAGCTCCACAAAAACCTGGGCCATTTCTGCGTTGTTGCTGCCAAGGGTCTATTCAAGGTTAATTTGAAACGTGAAGTGCACAAATCTGTGACGTGTCGCTCGGTTCAACGATATGCCTCTCGTGGCGAAGATCACCCGACACTTTCGGCTACCACGCCCCATCACTGGCGCAAGCTGGCCGAGTCTTCTGGGACGATTTCGGGAACCTTCATGGGCATGCAGAGAGTCAAGCTGCAAGAGGTACATTTAGAGCGGTTGGCCAAGTCACATCCACGCGCCTTCGCAGCAGCAACTCAAATAAAATGGCCTGAGAACCAAGCACGCCATGCTTTTTTCATTTGAATGCAGTCTTCAAGTCCCGGCGATCTGTCAGATGAATTCTCCTCCTCGAGTGCTTGTGGTTGCTCTGCGCATGGATCTTTTGAGGAGGATAGTGCGAAGAAGAACTCTGGACAAGTGTAGCACTGGTCATTATGTAGTGGCCATGATCACAACGCTACCTTCGCACGAGTGACGCAACAGAGGTATCCCCGCATCTGCTATGATGCTCTCGCAGATCCAACCTCGGAACTCGGAAGGAAGCGGCGGTGTAAGCTCCGGACAAGCAGGATGGTAGCGCACACCACGAACAAATGTGCCAGGGCAAACCTGCATTCCCCGAGTCTTATGGCTCTTTGCTTCGAAAGGCTTGTTGTTGCCTACTTTTTCAAGACGGCCGACCGTGGTATGGTACCGAGTGGAGGACAGAAGGATTATGTCTCTCTGCGACGGTATTCGCCCTCGAACTGGGCTGGTTCGCAGGCTTTCAACCGCTTCTTCTGTAATGTCCTCTATGAGTATTCAAGATGACATAACTCCCCAGGTCCAGGTGGTTGGTGATTGCTCCGGCTCGACGCGAAAGAATCAACATAAGCTGCTTTCTCGACCCTACACCACGCTGAGGTTTTGCTGCAGACGGTTTAGTTGTAGTGCTTACTTCTCTGGTTTCATCTCTCATTCATGGTCAAAGGGGTTCCGGCTTCCGTCGAACTACTGCTACCATCTGAAAGAGAGAAAAAGAGAAGAGAGGGGCCGGTCTTGAAATTGTGCAGAAACATCATGCCTTTGGTTTCAGATCTGGAACGATCTACACTAAACCCTCCATCGGAAAAACCTGAAACCCAAACATCGGACTCCTGAACCGCAAGGCCAACTACACAAGCCAAAACCCTGAACACCAGCGCTCCAAAACGCAAAACCCTATCGAACAACTCTCAAACCATGAAGACAGGTGGCATCAGGATCGTGCCCGGCTCACAGCCGAAGCCGACAAAGCCAATTCTCACAGTGTTCGGGCACTGGAACGTCGTCACGGAGCCTCCGTGTTTAATCCTAAACCCCAAAACCTTATAAACACCATAAGCCCTATAAACCCTTACCCCTTTGTCAGGGCTGAGGGTTTTATTTTCGGCTCCAGCATCGCAAGCCCAGGCAGACAAGGCAGGTCCATGAGTCGGCACATGCGATGCTTCTACACAAACCGAAGTTCAGCATTAAAATTGAAGTTGCTGTTTTTCATTATTGTTCTTGTTAGTGCCTTTGTTGGTATTGTGGTTATTGTAAGTGCTACTACTATGATTACGACTACGTACGGTCATCACATGCTAACGCGGTGATTGTGACTGTGTGATGCCCACCTCCAGTGGCCAGCGTCAGGACCCGCACACTTGCCGAGGCCTCCGCTCTTTGACATTCGGAAGGGCTCCCCGGGAGGATCCAAAAAGTAGATCCCTTAATGGGGGTTCCTATAAAGTACCCTTAGTAGTATAGGGCTCCAAATTAGGGGATCTACGTTCTAGATTTTTCCGGGGGTCTGGGATAGGGCCTTAATAATTAGAATAGGGCTCCTGTAAAAGAGTCTATAGTCTATAAGGGATCTATTACTGGGTGAAGCCGGAGTTTCGGGGATGTTCCACGAGTACAAGCCTTCATTTGAACAGAAGGTCGGGTATATAGTCTGGTTAAGTCCTGTTAGGGAATATCATAGTATAGTCTCATGCCGGAATACGAGAGCACACTTCGATTGCGGAATATGAAGCATATGATCGTATGGTGGTATTCAAGTGTATTGTAGTATTGCTTACCACAAAAAAATCGTTTCGGGCCGAAGGCAGGCAGATTCCTCGGATTCTCATGCCCCCTTCTACCGGAAACGCATGACCCTGGGCGAAGCTCAACATAAGTGCGCTCGTGTGCTGGCAATATAACGGTAGTCAAGACTATAACAAAAGGTGTTAACATTGTTTAAGTAAGGTTACTACGTTGTAGAATTATAGTAATGCAGTAGATCACGCAAACCCTTCTGAATCAATTAGGGCCCCTGTTGCTGTCGCCTGCCCATCCTGAGTTGCTACCCCAGGTTCTCTATACCATAATACTCTTCATGACTACAACCGTATGCAACTAAGCAAAGCCACCACTCACAGGAATACGAGCCTTTTCGCCTTGAACTCAGAAGAAACGTCAAGCACCTCAAAGAACAAATCCAAAGGTGAGAGAAACCTTCACCCACAGCATCGCCGGCCCAACTTGCCGAAACCTAACAGGGTAGTTGTCAAAAATTATGGTCCCTTTTTGGGCACCCTAAATATTAGGTGCCGTATTATATTAAGGGCCCAAAAAGGGACCCTAATTTTGACAACGACCCAACACTTGAAGCCTCGAGCGCAAGTCCATAAAGCCAGCCTGTAACCCCAAAGCACACACCAGACTCGTGCTTCGCAGAACCCAGAGACTCCAAAGCCAAGCCTGAACCCTAAACCCAAAAATGAAGTAATATAGAGCTAGACTCCTTCACTCAGAAACATACCTTATACCCTTTATCTGTAAGTTTAGAAGTATAACCCTTAGTTCACACCACACAAGACTGAACAAGCCCCCTAAACCTTCATAATTCTTCATGTTGTTCCTGTTTTCAAGGGTTTCGGAGTCCCTAGGAACGGAAGTGGGAGGTTCCCAAAATAGGGGACCCTCATGTAGCACCCCAAATAATAGGATCCTTATTATAAGGAGCCCAAAATAAGGTGCCCCCTAATTCTCGGAAATTCCCACATCTCACAGCGAACTGCCTGCAGGAAGAGGCCCGGCCTCATCTGTCAGGGTGGTTGTCAAAATTATGGCCCCTTTTTGGGTCCCTATTATAGTACGGCACCCAAAATTCAGGGTACCCCAAAAAGGGACTATAATTTTGACAACCACCCATCAGCTTGAAACGCTTGCAGTGCTTCGAGATGCTGTCTAATATCAGGGCCTTAATGATTAGAAAAGGGGGTTCCTTTAAAGGGGTCTATTTATAAGGGCCACTATAAGGGCTATCATAAGGATTTAATATAGGGGCCTTAATGATTAGAATAGGGTTTTGGAGCCCATTGTACTATGATTACAATAAGGAACCCCCAAAATAGTAGAGGTAATTGTTAGGACTCCTCTCATACACTTACTGAAGAAGCTGCAGCTCGATGCGAGGACCTTGTACAACTGTACAACTAATGGCCTCAACCTCGTCAAACAGCTTTGGAAGGCAACTTCTCAACGGAAGAAAAGAAGGGCGACCATTGCCTGCAAATGAAGGTCGCAAGATCCAAATCGATGATTCGAAGATCCAGGAGGGGCGAGCAAGACTTTAGACTTGAGGCAGCAGCAAAATCATTCGATGGGAGCATCGTTACTTTCCCGAACTTTGACTTGCCGAAGCACATGAAGTCGCCGGTCTCGGGCATCAGGTGTGTGCCTTCGTAGGTTTCAGGTTTGGAGATCCACAGAAAGATCTAGGCGTGGTGTTCGCCTTGGCCTCATCCTTCTGTCATGGCTGCCGCTTGGTTGGGCATGCTAGAGTCATGCCATTTCATTAACTCATACTGTTGCAGAAGTAGTGTTCAGATGGAGAGTAGATGAGCCTTGACCGTTGCTTTGAAGCGAACCGCGCGCTCGGAACACGGAAAGAATCAAAGTCCTGCCCTCCGTATATTTTGCGGCCACAGAGATGCTACCCAGACCTTCCACTATCCCTTAAGGAATATATAATATACTCTAAGTCGTAGTAGGATGCCGAATATGGTTTAAGGCATTTTCCTTGATTTACCAAGGGATATTGGAAGGTCTGGGTATAGGAGCTCTGGGAGAAGACAATTCGAAACAAGAACCCAAGGGCCTCCAGACTAGGGGAGCTTCTACACGGCCCCAATCTGTAAATGAAGCGGAAGCTGTAGGGGTTCAGGGTTTAGGGTTTAAGGTTGTGTAAGTGAAGTGGAACCCTAAAGCCTTGCAGGGTGTAACTCTCCCACGAAGTCTGTAGATTCCGGCAAACTTTCTGGAGCATCCAGGAGGCAGGTGTTGTTGTAGCCGCACTCCAAACGCACGCAGCTGTGGATGCCTCTTGCTTCCATGACTTCGGGAATAGGGAACAAATAACACACACAAAACACCAGTATGCAGATTTATATACTAATGCTTGTCTACATTACATGTTCCTTTGATTGTGCATATCTGTATATATGTATATGTATGTATGTATCAGTGTCTAAACAAACAAGCAAACAACTACACATGCATGCATGCATACATAAAAGCGCGCATAAATACATATACATAATACCTATACATGTGCATATGACATATGATATGCCTGTGCATGCATCTGAATGGTGTTTACCGTTCTTACGAGTATCACTGTTTGCACTGCACACCTTTTCGTATCATGAAAGACTTGTAGAAATCGATGCTGCACCTCATCTGAACCGTGTGATGTTAAATCTAAATTATGTACGCAAACTTGTCTTAACGATGCAAATCTGTGTTTGGCGGGTGTACTTTACTTGAGGTCCTGCTGCGCTATGCAGGATCTTACTCTTGTGGTCACCCACTTTCTGGGACTCACGCAACGGTGATTCAACCAAACACTGTTCGAGGCATAGGTGCAGAGTTTCGGCTTCAAAGAGTTCGAAAATATGGCGGAGGGCTTCCTTTAATACAATCCAGTGCCGTGCGTGTTGCGGACTAAGCAGCTCAACATGCGCTGTCTTGGGTCACGTGCAGGCACTTGTACCCCTTGAGGCCCCACTCTATCGACCCCGCCTGACGGCCGGATTGTGGCAAAGGCCAGCGAGTTTGTGCCCTCGAAAAGAGGGCGGCTGGTTCGGATCACAAGGTCGTCCGTTGTGGGATCCTGCACTGTAAGCGCATGAAACTAGGGTTTCAGCACTCACTCTCGGACAAGGCTTGGCGAGGATCTCAAGTCCCAGTATGCTCGTTGGCATCTTAGCCGGCATATTCACCAGGCGCGCATTAACACTCTACAAGCCATCCCTATCGCCTACGAGCGATCACTCGAGCTTCGACCTACATGCCCAATCACGCGACCTACCAGCTCAGTACTGCATATACACGTCTCAGGCTGGGCCCTCTTGACTGCTGTATTGTCCAGGGAGGGTCGCACTGGTGACGTCACAAGTGCAACACTTCTCTGTTCCGCAGTCGCAGCCGTGGTTGCCAGCTCACGACACCAGGGTTATATGTATTTACATGTATTTAATTATTCGTGTGTATGTATGCATGTAGGCATGTATGTACGGCGTGCCAACCAACAACACCTTCAGTACTACAACAAGCATCTGCAAGCCGTCAACATCTCACGCGCGAGCCTGCTTCCCCCCTGCTTTCGTAACTGTCTTGAACCACGGGGGACCAAGCAAGGGGACGATGATCTACGATAGTTGCAGTTGAACCTCAGCAGACGCTGAACCCTACTGAGTCCTCCGGGTCAATGTCGTCCTGTGGCAGGGTGTCGTTGGGATGAGGGCTTCAGCGATTATTCGAGGGAAACCATGCGGATCTCTCCATTTCAGCTTGCTGGTGGCGCTGGGTGCACGAATGCAAGAAGGCTTCGGCTTGGCTGCTGGGCTTTATCGCCATGATCCAATGGAACATAGGCTTCTGGGTCTGTCTCTCAGGCTAATGTAGTCTGGTAAACTTAGCAAATTAGACTAGCATACGCTAATATGCTATAACAAAACATACTGCAACAAAGTGTGGCAAGATGCACATAATCTAAGTACCATGACATACAACAGTATTAGAGTATAAATGTAAAGCCATATTAGGCATAGTGTAACAAGTGGGGGCTCAAAGCCTGGCTTTAGGATATCTGTCCTTGGCCGGCTTAAGGCTCGAGGGGCTTAGGGGCTTTAGGGGTTATAACGGTTTAAGGGGCTTTATGTAACCCTTTTCGGGTACACATAAGACTATTGAAGTTCATGTGGGTTACTTCAATTCTACCGATCCACATTTACTCATGTCAGCTCCTACTACAAACCGACAGGCTCTGACTATGTTTCAAGAAACCCATAGCTGTTGAACACAGAGGCGCAATTAGTCAAATTCGGTTCATGAGGGGATATCAGTACTCACTTCTCGACCCCACGCCCCCAAGTACGGCCTTATGTTTGTTGGTCTACTACGGCTCTATGGACCGAAGTGGGCCACTTACTTTCTAAAGTACCCCTATAGTATCCCCGCATGGTACCCTTGGAGTACCTCTAGCCAAGGTTGTAGTAAGCGTCATAACCTTGTAGTGACACTACATCCTGCCTCGCAAGCACCGACCGCATGGACCTCTGTGAGCATCTTCCCTGGAGGCATGCTCAACCTTGGGTCCAGAGCTACGATGTGTGGCTTTGGGTTCATGGCGATGTAGGGGTCTCTATAACATAACAGGTATGTCTGCATGCCAGTCGGTCAGTGCATCCGTATAAATATATGGGTATATATACATTTATATATATACACACACAAATTTTACATACATGTCGTTTAAATGTAGAAACGAAGGGCGAGAGAGAGAGAGAGAGATAAAGAGAGAGAGACAGAGAAGAACACAGAGAGATGGATGGAGTGTTCTCTCATTGGGCAGGAGCTCGTCCGTCTTGAGGTGGCCAGTTATCTGCCGGATGTTTCTCCGATCTTCAAGCTTCTCATGCCAATGCCGAAAGCCCTAAACCATCTAACGTAGAGGCCTTAATACTCAAATTGGGTTTGGTGGTATATTATGCTATACTTACAATGAAGGAACCGTTGGAAGGAACCGTTGCACTATACTTATAGTAGGGAACCATAATTGTGCTGTAATTATGATAAGAACCACTCCGCTATAATTATTCTCAGGCACACCCCCCCCTCCCTCAAAAAAAAGATAAAAAACAACACTCTTTATAATGATTATTAAGGCCCAAAGCATCTAAAATCCAGGGCGGCAGGTCCGCAAGGAGCAAACCGAAGCTGGGGGAAAGTGTTGCCCATGGCAGCATAGATACAGAATAGCAGATACGCACAACTATGAATACATAAATTTGTGTGTGTGTATATATATATATATATATATATATATTTGTACGTGTGTATATATATAGCTGTAGATATGTAAGTGTGTGTATATATATATACACATCTACAGACAGACATACATACATACACATGCATGCATACATTTTTACATACATACACACATATGCACATACATATACAAATTGTCGAATATCAGCAGAGATGCGCTGGTGACACTACCTTTGACAAACAGTCTGGCCATTGTAAGTAAGCCGGACGCTCTTTCCTTTGGCGATCTCCCGCTGCAAGCTGTTCATCCGAACCACCCCCTTTTCCAATACCCTCCCTCCGCTCAGAAAAGGAAGGCGCATGCGACAAACACAAGCCTAAACCCCAAACCCCTGAACTCCTAAACTCCCAAACCCGAAACTCCCAAACCCGAAACCCCTAAACTCCCAAACCCGAAACCCCTAACACAATAAACCCTTAAACTCCCAAACCCGAAACTCCCAAACCCGAAACCCCTAAACTCCCAAACCCGAAACCCCTAACACAATAAACCCTTAAACTCCCAAACCCGAAACTCCCAAACCCGAAACCCCTAAACTCCCAAACCCGGAAACCCCGCTAAACCCTAAAGACTCAGCCAGGGACATGAGGTCTCCGTCATCGGGCCAGGAATCCGAGCTCGAGGGGCAACATCCTCGGGTCTCCGATCAGCTGGAGCTTTCAAGGGTCTCTTGGGGCCATACCCATACCCTAAGGCCCCATAGTACGGTTGATGATATAAATCCTGCATGACCCATAATAAGGAATTCACTATAATTCCCATAGTTTAGGGTCCTTAAGGTAATGCAGGATTTATATCATCAACCGTAGTTCCTTTTTGGGGGTTCGTATATAGAATCCTACAAGGTAATCCCAGAAAGGAACTACTTTGGGGCCCTTTTGGGGCGTATAGGGATCGCCTTTTGGGTCCAGGGCTTATGGTAAGGTATCTTGGGGCCCTTTTGGGGCGTAACCCTAAATAGTCGGATCCTTATTCTAAGGACCCCCATAAAAAAGGTACCACAACCGCCTTTTTAGGAGCCTATAGGCCGTAACCCTAAATAGCAGGATCCTTATTATAAGGACCCCACCCAAAAAGGTACTGTACCACAGTCGCCTTTTGGGTCGGGGCCGTATTATGGGGCGCATAGCCTATTCGGTTTAGGCTTTAGGGCATGAGGTATCTGAGGGCCTATGGGACAGGGGCTTAGAGTGCAGAGATGTGCAGAGAGCTCAGTGCGAGGTCCTGAGTACCTAGATTTACTTTTCAAGTTTGCCTCGGGCTTCGAGCAGACTTACGGCCACATATTGCTACATTCTCATAGTCTTTGCCATACCCAGCATTCAGGCCTCAATTATACTACCGTCGGTCCAGACTTTGCAAGGGTAAGGCTTGCTCGACATCGGATTGCAAAGAGGGCAAAGGTTATAAGGACTGGAGAATCTGAAGGGAGACATGAGGGTTTCATGGATGAGGGGCTCAGACAACGGGGCGATTGGGGGCTGAGACCGTAGCAGATTTCAGGGTTCAGGGCGGCATAGCGATTCAATAGGCTTTGCTTGAGAAACGACGAGCCTGGGGATTTGTGGCAGCTTGAGGTCTGAGAAACCGTACACCCGACGTAAGGGAAATGTTCCTTTCGATCGCAGCCACACTTCGCTTCACATGTCCATCCTTTGGTGGTCACAGGAAGAAGTCTACTACTTTGATGTTAAAAATGCACGCTGCTTTCAATGAACATGTACAAACACACACACACACACACACACAAACACACACACACACACATACACACACACGCAGTCGCACCCCTAGATGAAGGAGTCCACGTGTCTATACACACGTAAAATAGACATACACGCTGCCATGGGTATAACTGCTTTCGACAGCTGCAAAGACTAAGACTCTGTTCATATATTCACTATGGAAGCGGTTTGGCAGCGTTCTGGCGGCGTTCTGGGCTGAGGGTTCCTTTGGGGGAGCAGATGCAAGACAAAGCGGCCCATGGCGCCGTCGGCATCAACCGCAGGCGCTACAAGGGGGCAGCGACGACACTCGGGCGAACCTTGGACTCAAGCCAGTCTGCGATATGAGGTTCGGCGATCACACTCGGACATGCCGGGCGAGGTTCTTGTTGGTGAAACCTATGTTTCAAGCAGGGATGATTGTGTGATCAGGGTTCTTACCATGGCCCATGGTCTGCAGAATTGAATAAAATTGTGTTCCGAAGCTAAATGCAATCCTTGCTCTTACGATGGAACCTCTAACATTTCTTCTGGGGTGGGCTCGGAAGGTCTACGTAAACTCCCAGACCAACCAAGAACATGTCTGGCCCAGGTCTTCAACACCTATAGTCTATAGCCATGCATCGTGGCACACCGATGCATCTGTCTCACAAAACTTCGTTTAGTTTCCTGATAGAACCCAAGCAAAACCCTTCGCATCCAAGCCTTCAAAATCCTCAAAACCCGGCCCTTCGCCACGCAAGTCAGGACACCATCGGCAGATGAATAGCGGCCGCGGGAGCCTAGGAAGCGATCCTTTAAGCTCGAAGAATGGCCTCGCTAGCTTAATTAGGTAATTAGGGTTTAGGGTTCAGGGTTTAGCTCGAAACAGGAAACTGATGGCATCTCGGGGTTGGATAGAACAGATAGATTCAGCTTGCGTCCGGAGTAAGACATCTGGAAGGGTTATGCCGGAGGCTTCTGTGAAGCGGGCCCGGATCATCAATACCAAATACCGCACCGCAGAAATTGCAGAAGCCATCTTGTAGCGACTGAAGTGAAGCTGCGGCAGCTTTGTTTGCGAGGCTGGAGCATAGAAAGTGTAACCGAACAGTCTCTACAATATAGCCTCAAAACTTAGAATAGAGTTTGGGGCCCAAAAGATTATACTATATTCATCATCGGGAACCCCCCAAAAAATAGTATAAGGTAATGATTTAGGCCCCTATAGTACCGCATGGATGGTGCGACTTGCCCAGCCACAAAGGCTGCACTGTGAGGATCCTGATGTCGAAGCCTCAAGGAAGAGGCAGCCGCGGGTGGGGGTTGGGAATGGTTTGGAGTTTTTTGGGTTAAGGGAAAATGAGGGCACCAAAGCGTCAGCCCATCTTGATTGCTTTGACCACTTCATCTGGTTCCGGGCGGCCGACAAAAGACAAGTAAAACAAAAATCCAAGCTTCACAAAATCGGGATTCTAGGTGTGGCGTTGTGTCCAGCAAATTTGCCTTGTCGAAGAAGCCTTTCTGATCGCATTACACCTGAAACCCATGCGTGAAGTAGCTGTCCCCGCTGGGCAGGACAAGCACTGCGCGGCGCTTGTGGCTGCGGTGTCCTCGAGAAGTCCGAGAAGTCAGTGATTGAACTATGTCTGCGGGACATGCAACTACTGTAACTGCGTACCTCTGCCAGTATTTGTAAGACTTTGGTTGACTAAGCTTCGCCAGGTTGAAACAACACACTAGAACTTGCGCAATCAGTCTGGCACGAAGGGGTGCTCGGCCCCGAACTCCTACAAAGTGTCCTGGGAAATTCAGCGTTGGATTCCAGGATTCGGTGCATCATTCCAAGAACATGGTAGTGTGCTATCGACCTGCAGCACGCCACTGTCACATGCGTAGCTGACACTCTCAATACTCCAGCGCTGAAGCCCCAAAGACTCCAAACGCACAACCCGCTCCAAGCATAGTGTAGCACGGGGTATTCAGGCAAAAGAGGTAGCCTGGATTGCAAGATCCTTGTTTTCAGGCCCCAGGAAAGCAACATCCGGTTTAAGAGAGCAAGGCATCTCCTCCGGCTGCAAACCCTTAACCCCAAACCCATCCCTAAACCCTAAACCCATCCCTAAACCCTGAACCCATCCCTAAACCCTAAACCCATCCCTAAACCCTAAACCCATCCCTAAACCCTGAACCCATCCCTAAACCCTGAACCCATCCCTAAACCCTAACTAAATCCATGACTAAACCCTATAAAAACCCAGTGCCGGGGGCCGTCCTCAAGATATCGGCCGGAACCGCAATTCGAGCAGACCTCTGCACGCTTCGCCAGTCTTCATAAACACCCTCTGGTATTAGGGCTTATAGGGTTTAGGGTGATCTTATATAGTAGGGTTTTAGGGTTTAGGGTGATATTATATAGTAGGGTTTTAGGGTATAGGGTGATATTATATAGTAGGGTTTTAGGGTTTAGGGTGATGTTATATGGGAGTTTCCGAAAATAGGGAACAGCAATAGAGTACCCTAGAATAGATAGGATCCTTATGATAAGGACCCCAAAAATCTGACACCCCTAATTTTCGGAAACTCCCACAAACGGGGTTGGTGAGGGTGTCGAATCGAACTCCTAAAAGGCTGCACAGGGCATGCCAGGTTAAACATCAGAAGTGAATCCTTTCTTACTTTCAACCAAACCACATTTGGGTACTTGTCAAAATTAAGGTCCTCTTTTTTGAGTACCCTAAATATCCGGTGCCGTATCATAATAGGGACCCAAAAAGGGACCATGATTTTTACAACCACCCATTTCGGGGAATCTCATGACTCTAAACCCTAAACCCCTTTTTGCCTCAGGACTTGTGCCTAAACCCTGAACTCATGATGCTCACCCTTGATCGTTCTTGGAGCGCTGAATGCCAGTATGCTCGTATGGGCTTATGGAGTCAAAGGCTTACCCAGAGAGCCCAATACCCCTTAATTAAGGAATATACCTTAAATCATTAGGGGCTTCATGTTATGATTTAAGCCATATTCCTTAATTAAGGGGTATTGGGCTCTCTGGGTAGGGCCATTCAAGGGTCTGGGTGAAGCTTGCGGCTCTAGGTTCTTCATGGCTATGGGTTTTTAAAGGTTTTAATGATTTAACTATATAGTCTCCATTGTAGTTCCTTTTGGGATCCATAATATAAGATTGGTTAAACCAGAAGAAGGAACTACACTGGAGACTATAGGTAGGGTCACTAGGTCCTTAGCTCCTGTTGGAGGTGCTGCACCCGAAAACTTCGGGTAGTTGAAGTCGGGGCTCTGCGACAACGTTTTCGAGCGAACGCTCCCAGGCATCTCGACTCAAGGTATCGATGGCCTTCCGGCCACCTAGCCCACAGAAGATCAGGACTGCCGTAGAGCCTAATGCTCTTGTAACTGCCAAGTTGTAAGGCCAGAAAAACTCATGCTGGGGGATACAATCTAGAACCTTGGCTCACGCAGGGGCTCATGCTAATTGTCATAGCCTTACTCATAACTAAGGGCTTTTGCCGAAGAATGACAATAATCGTGCTAGCATTACGTGGGAGTTCCCGAAAATTAGGGATACCTCGTTTTGGAATCCTTGTAATGAAGATCCTACTATTTAGGGTGCTCTATTAGGATCCCCGATTTTCGGAAACTCCCACATGGAGCTTCGGTGGGCCAGGCAGAACTACTCACTGTCGGATGTTGCGTCGTTGGACAGCTCGCCGTCACCTCGGTGGGCATCCGGATCTACTGCGGTCATCTCGCACTACCTGTACTGCACTCGGGTCTATGAGGCTGTGGGAAGCCAGTTTCATGATCATTCCTATATCCTGTATCCTGTATATACATATATATATATATATATATATATCTATGGTACCCCCCATGTACCCACGCCTTTCTTCTAAATCACAGTTTGTCCGTGGGATCCCCTTTGTCCCCAAGCCTTTCTCCTAAATACCAGGTTCGGGATGGCGTGGGCCTTTCTTCTAAATACCAGGTCCGGGATGGCGTGGGAGTTTGAAATTGGGGGGAGTGCGTGCAGATTGTAACGTTCTTCGCTCATGTCTTTGGCGGGTTCCCTTCAAAATAGCCCCGAATCATCCAAATCATTTTGATTCGGGCCCGGCGCTGGATCCAAGATCAATCATTGCCCAGAGGTCTTGCGCGGGCAATCTTGGATCCGACCCTCATCCGAATCATCCGAATCATTTCCGAATCACTTTGATTCGGGCCCGGCCCGGATCCAAGATCCAAGATTTCCCAGAGGTCTTGCCAGGGAATCTTAGATCCGACGCTCACCCATTGGATCCAAGATTCCTTGGCAAGACCCCTGGGAAATCTTGGATCTTGGATCCGGGCCGGGCCCGAATCAAAGTGATTCGGAAACGATTCGGACGATTCGGGTGAGGGTCGGATCCAAGACTGCACCCACAAGATCTCTGTGCAATCTTGGATCTTGGATCCGGGCCCGAATCAAAATGATTCGGAAATGATTCGGATGTTTCCATGCGTTTCTCCGAAATCTCAGCTGCAGAACTGCGTGGGTTAATGGGATCGGGGGAGTGCCTGTAGATCGTATGTTTCTTCCTTATCTTTAAATGCAAAACTCTCGCCGCGGACCAAGATAGGGCGTATTCAAACGTATTCAAAACGTATTATGTTGAATACGCCTCGGATCCAAGATTCAAGATTCAAGGTGCCAGGGAGAACTTTGCCCTGCATCTTGAATCTTAAGTCTTGGATCCGAGGCATATTCAACAGAATGCGTTTTGAATACGCTTGAATACTTAATCTTGCGGCTTGACCGTTGCATTTTGTGTTTCGAGCCTGTCGTGGTTCTGTGGATAGTCGTCGTTTTCTGCCTTGTACATGCGAGAGATATAAATACTACCGATAGCGCGGTCATCTCAGCAACTTAACACCGGTACTGCTTTGCGAGGTAACATATCCACAATGCTTTGTAGGTGTTTGACTCTGTCAGATAACATGATTGCCGTGATGAAATTTAGTCGGCCTAACCACTAGTTTGACAGTTTCACGGATTGGCCGGATTCAGTGGTTGGGCACACATACGACATATGTGCTCTTGCGATGTGATTACAAATGCATATATGCAGCTGCATAGTTGTGAACATGCTCATGAGATTAATCATTCCTTTCATGCTGTACAAGACTAGGTATGAATCTCTGCCTGAAGAGGTTACTTTCAGAGGGCCACTTCATTGCTCGTCTTCGTCCGTTACCGTGCACGGAACTATACGCTTCGTTTT